GCCGCAGTAGCTGTATGTAAAAGCCAAGAGAGAATGGAACCTGAAAGCGAAGCAGGGGAGCGGAACCGCGACTCAACGTCAGGCGGCAGTCGGCACGCTAGTCAAGAGGTAGGGCTGGGTGGCCGGTGGGTTAGGCTGCGGCGGAGGAGAACAAAGTGCCAATCGGGCCTTGAGCTCAGTGAAAAGAATGCAGATAATGGTTTCAGCCGCACGCCGAATGTGCAGTGAGGCTTGGGCTGAGTATGGGTGGTTGATGATGTCTGAGGTAGTAGTTGCGGTCGTAGGTTGATTTATGGTGGTGGTGGTATGTAAGGCAAGGCTTTCTTTCTTCCTCTGTTCTTCAGTCAGGGTGGAGAGGAAGGAAGATAGACAGGCAATAACCGACAGGTCGTGGAGATGACGAGGGGGGGGGGATGGTTATCTGGCCTTGTCAAACAAGACTGAACAGATAGCTAAGAGGTGGGAGCTCTCGGCAAACGGAAGACCGGACAGGGCAGCTTCTTTCTTGGGGGTGCGCGGGATGGCACGAGCGGTGATGTGCAGGGAAAGTACGTGTATTATTGATGAGGTATTGGAAGAAGCCGAAGCCTCGGTGTGTGTATGAGTCGGCGCCTGGGTCACGTCACGAAACAGATTGGGAAGAATTGGGTGCAGTGCGCAAGCGTTGTGGCGGTTTACGGCTTCGCGGCGACGCGGTGCGCTCGAGAGATTGCGAATGGATAAAAAAAGACACCCAGAGGCCAGCGGGAGTGCGGGAGACGGGATGAACAGGCGATGGTTTGCAAAGTCAGCCTCTTGAGTGGATGTATGCGAAATTGCTTTCTGGGGATATGGGCTAAAAACAGAACAAGCTCCAATTGATTCTTTGCTCACTTTTGGATTCTGATGCCTGTTTTTTTGCTCCTTCCTCCTAACTTTTCTGTATCCGTACCAGGCACCGGGGAAGGAGCGGATACATTAAGGTACTCCGTAACCTCCACTGACTATCCGTAGGTGTCTCTTTCCGATTCAGGTTCCATATTTCTGTTGGTACGTATTGTTCAGTCTTCTTTCGTCATCTCTCGACTTCTCCCAGCATTCTGCCATACATCGATCAGTCGTTAGTGCCATGGACTCATCAGTCAGTCATTGTCAGTCAGGTCAGTGCCCAGCTCGGTTTCGTGACCCCGCCACGCTCGCCGCTCTTCCTGGGTCCGCTGTCGGGTGGATTTAAGCCAACGCCATGCCGGGGCCTAGGGGGGGGATGTGAGCTATTGATTGAAAAAAGGCAGACAGAACGGGAAGAATACCCATTGCAATCACAGACACCTGGAACAGGTAGTGAACGTTTTACACGAACAGATACGGGCAAGTCCGCGCCAATCCCGTCAGAAAGAATCACCCACGAGGCTCTAGCGCGGGACAGCTCGGCGACATACGCGCTTAGCGTACGGATAATTCGTATCTTCAATACCGTTGTTGCTAGTTTGACTTAGCTTACCTCTGTGCTTAGGTATGTGGGTGATGACATGCGTGTGGTGGTGCACCATTGTTCCCTGTATCCACTAAATGGCCCCAAGGGGTCTTTTCTTCGTCTCGGGACCGGGTACGTGATACGATCCAGATACAGATGGCGACGGGAGCCACAGAAAGGGGTCCTGCGCACTTTGAATTCCAGCCTGGAGCCTCCGTCTTTTTTTCTTTCTTTTTCTCTCCAATCATTGCAATCGCTGACCGACCACGCTGACCATCCCTACGGCTCAAGTAAGCCCGACCATCAGACAAGTGCTGCCTCGAGATCACGCCTGAGGTACGGAGTAAGGTACGGGATACTCCGTACGGATACTTGCCGTATGGAGTAAGTTTTGACAGGATTCAGGAATGAACGTTGGACAATGCGTTAGAGGGGTACGTATACACGTAAGTCACAACTAACAGTAATGGCACTTCTTTCTTACAACTCCGGGCTCCCACACGCCACACACACACACTTGAGGTGACGGGAAAGTCCTCGACACCACCGGGCCGGGCGGCATGACATCCATCTGAGATGAGCTGGTCGTTGAGGTGTATCCCTATTTAAGCTTATTTCACCATGGCACGTTCACTCGCCAACACCTGAGATGATCTGGCCAGTTGGCAGCTGTCCCTTCTTGCCCATGGTCATCCTCACCCAGTAATCACCTCGCTCATCAGTGTCTTTCTCGACTTGGTTGTGCCTTGCATATAAGCAAGCCCTCTCGTCTTCTACTTTGAGGCCCTCTCTTCATCCTCGAATCATCGTGTAAGCGTGACCGTCCACAGTCAGCCCGTACCACCCTAACATCCCCCCCTTCCCCCTCCAAGTCTGCCCTGTCTGCCCCACCATAGCCCCGGCACCAACGCCCCTCCCCAGAACGCCGAGCCTCCAGCACGGGACGCCGGCAAGCGGGATTGCGTATGCTTTCCAGCTTTTTTGCAGATTCGCGGCCATCAACTCGACCTGCCCGTTCTTTCTCGAGCACTTGGAACACCGTACACGTCCATCTCTCTCCATTCCCCGCCTTCCCATCCATCCAAACTTGTATGTACCGTCACTACCGTGATCTCCTTCTCTTCAAGACCACGCCCGATTCACTTTACCCTACATTGGCCCGCCACTTTGACTTTCCCGCCTGGCCCGTTTTAGACCCTCCAGTCCCCTCTCCTTCTAGAACACTTCCTCTTCCTCTTCTTCCTCTCGCTTCTCTTGCTCCTCCTGCTCCTCTTCTCCCTCTTCCACCTATCTTCATTGCCCCTCAAGTTTTGTCTGTCTTGTTTGTTGTTCCGTCCTGTTCCGTCTGTCTGTCAGTCTGTCCCTCTACCCGTCTCCAAGATGTGTACGCGCGGCTTCATGCGGCCCCCTCACACAAATCCCGCCTCGGCCCTTGCGGTTTGCCGCTTTGGGGTGCCTCCGGCGGCTCTCACAACTTGCGGTCCTCTCGCAGCTGGGCAAGTGCCCTGAGAGATCGATCCAAGCTGGATCGCTGAGCTGCCTCTGCTCTGCCGCCTCTCTGTTATGTTTTGTGTGCAGGGCCCGAAGCGAGTTACACCGGAGTGGGACTGATTTGCTCGGAATTCCTCCAGGCTTTGGCATCATCGTGAACACCAGTCGCAACACACTTCTCTAGGTATTCGTCTCGAATCCACGTTGGACGACTACAGCCGGGCTGTCATTTATCGTATCCCGTCTCTTCACCTCCCTCGCGTGGCACATCGTCTCAGACAGACTAGAAACCTACGACAGCCGGCATGACCGACACCGACCTCTCCACCAACGACAGCGGCGAGTTCTGGCTGTATGGTTATGGGTACGTTTTCGACCCTTCGAGATCACCCTCGATCCCTGCCGCTCTCTCTCCCTCCTGGGCTGGGCTGCTCTTGTTCTCCAGCTCCTCCCGCCCTCCCGCATGGCGCATGCATCCCTGCCGTACACAAGCCTCACACACGTCGGTGCTAACGTTACAAACCCCGTCCTCCAGGAGTCTGATATGGAAGCCTCCGCCGCACTTCGGTTAGCCTCACCTCGTCCACACCACACCACACCCCCCCTTCTCTCCTTCTCTCCTCCTCCTTCTGCCCCTTGCCGCCATCCGAGCCGCCGGCTGATCTGTGTCGTCCACCCCCACAGATAGAAGAATCCCTGGTTGGGTGACAGGATACGTTCGTCGCTTCTGGCAGGTTCGTCTCTCCCTTCCCTCCCCCGGGCGTGCCGTCTCATCCAGCCCCGCGGGACACAAGGTCACCCTGCGTCCCTAGTGCCCGCTGCCACCAATGCTTATTTCCACTTCGTGTCCTGCCTTTGCCTCTTCTCCACTAGTCTCACTAACACCTCACTCAGGCAAGGTAACCATCTAACCCCCAAAGGCTTGATGACTACTACCATCTGCTCTCACCTCGAGATGTTCTGACCCCTTTACCAGTCAAGACCACAGAGGCACACCCGAGGCTCCCGGTCGTGTCGTCACGCTCATTGAGCGTTCGTTCTGGGAGCAGCTAACCGACCACCACGACTCGGCACCTGAACGCGTCTGGGGTGTCGCCTACCGTATCAAGGCAGACAAGGTCGCTGAGGTCAAGGACTACCTTGACATCCGCGAGATCAACGGCTACACGATCCACTACGCCCCTTTCTACCCAGCTGACAGTTCCGAGCCGATCCGCACACTTGTGTACATTGGCACCCCGGACAATGACCAGTTTGTCGGCCCGCAGGACCCTCAGGCCCTCGCTGCCCACATCCGCAAGAGCCGCGGCCCGAGTGGGCTTAACATCGACTATCTTCTTGGCCTCGAGGAAGCTCTTGACGGACTGAGCCCGGAGAGCGGCGACGTCCACATCACCGACCTCTCCAACCGAGTACGGGCCATCATCACCGCCGAGGAAACATCGCACGATGCTACGAAACCACCGTTGTCAGCTGTCGGCGGTACCTTCAAGCAGGGAACCAGTGTCAAGGAACAGGAGGAGACTGAGAAGACAGACTGAAGAATTTTCTGCACATTCTTTCGCCCTCTTCTTTTTCTTTTTTGTAACCAAGACCCCCTGCCCACATCCGCCCCTTTTTTCACTTCCCCCCTTTGCCCGTGGTGCAACAACGCCTTGGAGACATGTCAATAAACAACATTCTGTTTCAAAACATTCAACACATAGAGAGAGAGAGAGAGACAAATCAGGCAGACAAGTAGCGTTAGACCACAAATCCGTTGGCTTCCACGACGATTCCGAGAACACTTTGCATCATCTCCAGACACCAACCAATACCTATCGCCCACCCCCGCACTCCTCAAGGATCACCGGAATAGGAACCATCACCGCATGCGGAAGAAACCAAAACACTTGGTAGCAACCATTTTGGGGCAACAAAGATAAAGATCAAAGACAGAAGCAGAAAACCATTCCATTTGAGAAGACTAGGCCGTTACCAACCCTTTTTGACCGGGTTGGGGTTTTATTTTCCAGAGATCCAGTGCAACAGAAGAACCGGGTATTGTGTTGCAGCGAAGAATATTACCAAAGCTCGATCGAACCAACGGGCGCGCACACGAACGTCTGTCAGACTCGGAGCAGTTGAGCGTCGGCAACATGTCTTGGCCGCATGTTCCCGAGTTGCGAAAACCGACAACTAGCGGGCAACGAATCTCCGAAATCTAGCGAGCACTAATAGCCTCGGCCGCCCTGGGGCTGCTGAGACGGGTCGGCGTATCCGTAGGGAGCCTGGGGTGCGTAGCCATCTATGAGGTGTTAGCAAGCTGGACCGATGACAGAGACAGCATCGTCCACTCACCCTGGGGAGGGGCACCGCCGTAGGGCTGCTGAGGGGGGTAGCCGCGGCCGTAGGCGGGCTGCTGCTGCTGGTAGCCCATGTTGGGGACGCCGTATCCGCCGGGAGCGCCTCCATAAGGCACAGGGGGGGCGCCGTAGCCGCCACGTCCACCACCGCCGCCGAAGCCGCCGCGGTAGCCACCACCACCGCCACCGCGGGGACCGTTGTCGGAAGCCTTGTCAACGCGAATAGTGCGTCCATCAAACCTAGCAAGTTGATGTGTTAGTCGGCTAAGGGTTTCCACGATCATTGCGCCGGGACAAGCAAGCAATGGAAAGCAATTTCGCAAAGGCAGCGTACTCGACGTTGTTCATGGCAGCAATGGCCTTCTGAGCGTCACCATCCTGAGTGTAGCGGACGAAGCCGAATCCACGGCTGCGGCCAGTGTCGCGGTCCTTTACAACGACCTTCAAGCAGGGAAAAATAGCGGTCAGATCTCTCTCTCACACACATACACACACTTTCTCTCTCTTTTGGTTTTTACTGGAATGTTGGGACAAAGTGTCTCTCCATGGTCTATGGCGACGCCATTCTCAAGAAAGTTTCTTCGGACCGGACGATCAGTACTTACAGCTTCCTCGACGGCACCAAACTCCTCAAACTTCTGTCTGAGGGTGCCTTCCTCAGTGTGCCATGCAAGGCCGCTGTTGAAAGTCTTGTCAGCAAAAGCTTGTTTGGCAACGTCGACATGGAGAATACGCCGACGCAGAGGAGGGACTCACCCAATGAAGAGCTTAGACATGATGGCGGTAGGGTAATATGTCTGGTGTCTTGCAAAGAGATTGCTGAATTATCTGTTTGACTTGCGCGTTAGGTTCTGTTTCAAGGAAAGGTCCAAGGGAGGCTGCAATGCATAAATGCAAGTTGGTTTCTGAGTGGCGCCAAGCGGGGTTCTTGATGATGAGGGAAGAAAGTCAGGGGACGAAAGCGCTCTTTTTGGCACTTTCTCGGTTGAGCATGCGAGCCAACTCTGGACGATTTGCATCCACCTATGCAGCAAAGAGACGAGGCAGTGTCCAGTGACGGCCTTTGTCACTTGACGATAGCGCGCAAAGTGGCCCGACATGGGCGACAAAGCAAACGTACAATTTCCAGGCCGGAGGATGGCAGTGCGAGATGGAGGGAAAATGGGGTTGTGGGCTGTGTCAAACAAAGAAGTTTGCAGGAGTCGCCACGAGAGAAAAAAAAACAAAAAAAAAACAGGCGACGTCGACCGTTGGAAGAGGCTGAGGTGTGTTGATTTGCTGCAATGTCTTTTTTTTTTTCTTGAAACAAGAGAGCGAGGGATTGAGAGAAGCGAGATACGGACCTGGTGGTTGGAATTAGGTGGGCGGTGTTGGTGTTGGTGGTTGTAGGAGTGGTTGTGATGACAGACGTCAGGATTGAGACTGGGCTTTGATGGATCGAAAAAAGGAAGGAGGGGGTGAGAAGGAGAAGAGGTCGAAAGGCCACCTTGAGGGGAGAGAAAGGAAATGCTGGTTAGCGGGAAATTTCTGAATGGATGGAAGGGAAAGGGCGTTGAGGCAGTGCAAAAAAGGGCCCCAAGGCAAGGCAGGTAAGGTTTGGTGTGTATGAGTGTGGGAGTGGGAGTGGAAGGCGAGGTGACTGGACAGGAACGGCTGCCGTAAGGCAAGGTAAGGAAGGTAGGCAGGCGGGGTGGGTTGAGCATACACAGTACTTCGTACCTACCTACCTTGACTTGGATGGAAAGGTCAGGTAAGGTACGAACTACGGAGTACCTTTCGGATACACACACAGCAAATGGAAGAGGCAAGGTAGGAGCGGAACGGGGGGTGGTGGTGGACGGGGGAAGGGGAAGGTGAGGGGCGGCAGCACTGTTGCCTCTTGCTCTTGCTTCCTGAGGTGCTTCATTTTTTTGCTTGCAACCTAAGGTGTGTGCAGGCAAGTCCCATTTGCGGCTCGCCGTCGCTGGTCCCAGCCAAGCAGTTGTCGCATGTCCGTTGTCTTCCGTGCTTGTCGCCGCCGCCGGCTGTCTTGCTCGGATTGGGACTGGAAGACGCCGTGCGGGCACGATGCGAGATGGACAACAGCTCGTGGCGGGAACGTGGAGGGGTCCAACGAGTCGGGGCAAGTGGAGGGGAGGAGGGGGGGGTTCAATTGACCGTCGGGCAACGAGACCAATGACGGCATGCAAGGTACCTTCCCTCGCTAATGACTATGGCCAGGTACAATGGTAAACGGCAGGGTTGAGGTGGTTGGTCTTGGCCTGAGGCGACAGGAACGGTCAAAGGATACCGTAGACGAGAGAAAAAAAAAAGTACGACGAAAACAATAAAAAACGAACCGTATTCGTATACTTGAGAGACAGCAAGAAAGTGAGAAATAGAGAGGGAAAGGACGCGTTGAATGACGGAAACATACCTATTTTGATTGGTTGTCCGTACCCAGTATCTCGAAGTGAATTCCTGTGATGGAGTCGAAAATGCGTTGAGGAAAAAGTCGAGGAATTGGAGAAGAGAAGTAATAATATTTTCAAAGTAGATAAATGGAAAAAGGCACAATGCGGGACAAAAGCCGGTAAGAAATCCTTTTTCCCTTCTCAATCAGTCAGACCAAGTACCAGATCCCTGACGATAAGGTAGCAGTAGGCAAGGGGAATGGGGAAGAAAAAAAAAGAGCTTCAACAGGGACAGGCGCAGGTCAATATTGGAATCGAATAATCGCGCTTTTCTTTGTCTTTCTCTCGTTCCTTTTTCCGCGGTCTTCGGTTTTCCCCCCTCCGTCCGAGTCCCTGTTCCTCATCTTATATATGTGATGGACACAGGGTCCGCTGCAACGACTCCAGCGGCGGCGGCGAAAAGGAAACCAGAATCCAGAAGCAGACCTGACAGGCCAAGCAAGACCAGCCTTGTTTTGATACATGCGACAGAACGAGAGTGAGAATGACCATATGGAAAGCTGACTTGCCTGCGGTGAAGAGGGGGCATGTAGGTACTCACGTTCGGTACCTTGCCTCACCCTGAGAGGTACATGCGTCCTTCTTACAGGCCCGCTTGCTTCCTGGATCATTGCCGCCGCTGCTGCTGTCGCTGTTGCAGCTGGCACACGAGGCAAGGGCCAAGACATCTGGGAGATCTGCCCGGGAAGAGGGACCCATGAAAACCCATCCATGGACATCTAGTGTGGTGTCAAGGGGAGGGGGGGGGTCCTAAAGAGGGGACCGCCCACATCCCAAATTCGGCTCTTCTGCGCAAGGGGGGTTGTGGAAGGGAAAAGGGCCCAAGGGCCAACGCCCATCAATGTTTCGACCTGAGCATAAGTGTGGTAGCAGGGTTAGCTTCCCCTCCCAAACAAGCATCAAACAGACGAAAAGCTCATATGTACATCCCCGCGATACTTCTGTCATCCATGACCGTCTTTTCTCTTGCCGCGAGACATGGAATTAGTCTAACCCAGCCAAGCCATACGTGCTTGCCCCTCGTTTGCATGTCGCCCGTCAGACCGTCTTCGAGGGGATGCCTTTTGAGAAAACACCATGCCACAGCTCTTCGGTTTCGATACTGATACTGTCGTTGGCGCCGCGGGGTCCTGCTGTCGCGGCCTGGCGTCGTGGACGTTGTCGCGTTCCGTAGCACTTCAAGTTAGACAACGCAAGACGAGACGCACGCACTTACGCACTCATCCTCCAGGCAGCTGCTCTCCTGAGGCGTTCTACCCATTCTGTGAGCTATCGTTCGGGGCTCATGCCCCGTCAGCAATATCATCATCATCAAGAGCCAACGGCTTGTCGCTCGATACACACTCCGGAGCCAAGCACCCAGACGTTGAGCAACTCCACTGCTGCCCGTCCTTCGATACGGCTCATCATTGTGCCCAATGTGCTCACACTTGCGGTCGACCTGACTAACCAAGCGCCTGCAAGTGTAGTGGGATGAGATGCAAGAGACCAGGACCACGGAAAGCTTCTTAAAATCCATGAACCCAGCCACTGCAGGGTGTGAGCAGGCGAAAAAAGGCTTACTACCGGATCGCAGGCGAGGGGGAAAATGTCGGCCATGGGAAATCAGCCCATGATGTATGATCTAGTTGCCCCTCGTTGCAGCCAGTCGAGAAACTCGCATCCGCACAGACGCCGGCGCTGTTAGTCTCTGGGGAGCCGCTAGATAGACGATGGTTAAGCTGAAGCTGGCAACGCCGAAGAGGGCACTGCGAGAGACATGGACTCCGTCAGCCGTCAGCCTAGATTTCTGGAAGTTGGTCGAGAAAGAAGAGGGAAGAGAGTCGACAGGGTGGGATCCTGACAGCAGAAACAGATTGGCATCTGTGTCCGCCATGACTGCTGGTCGTGCTGGAAACACCTGCGCGGGACGACAGGCTTGGCCTGGTCACTTGCGGACGCACTGGACCAAGAGTGACATTCCTATTCGACCCCACACTTTGCACAGCCTCCTTCGACCATGCCCAGTTTGAAGCAAGATGAACATCTTGGAGCTGCAACATCATTCTCCAACGTCCACCTTCTCCTGAAAGTGGAGTCTCCTAGTGTTGCACCTCGCTGCAGAGCCTGCAGAACCGGTTCTCGACTCGGCTTGCATTCCAGATGTACGGCGTGACGGGCTCCGGGAGGCGGCCAATTCTGACTGATGCTCGAATGTGCGCCCCCATCCGTTTGATCTCGTCCAGCCGGCATATTGCGACATTCGCCGTACCCGTGCCGCCGCCGCTGCCCTTGCTGCGTCTTAGCGCAATCGACCATCCGTTTGCCTGGCATGTTAATGCCATGCCGCTAGCAACTACGAGTGCGGCTTTTATCCCATGCAGGCGTGCCGGAGAAAGCCTGGATGACTTCGATCGTCTTCCCAGTCGTCAAAGTTGCCCATGGATGGTGTCGGTCTGTAGGTAGTCCGTCCCTGGCTTGTCGTCCAATGCGCTTCAGGGATCCAGCCATTTCTTTTCGTCACGCTATCCTCGTCAACCTCGGCTTGCCGTTCCGCCATGACCTTGGCCTAGATGGTTCTCTCTCATGCGCAAAGATATGACCAAGCAGCTTTCAAAGGCGAGAGTTCCTTTGCCGGCATTAACTACTCATGCGAGGCGACACGCGAAGCAGTCCGTCTTGGGAGAGCTCCAGGGCCAGTAGCTAACAAGAAGTCGGTAAGCAACCTCTTTTTGGCGCGCAAAACGCTCAATGCCGTCGTCCCCTTGAGGCTCCACTCCCCGCGAGGGCACTGACCAGCGAGAGGCCCATGAGCAGCCTTTGTGATGTGGGTTAAGTTGGTGAAGTTGTGAAGTCGACCTCGCAATGTGGATGCATCTTGTGGTCCAAGTTCTCCATGCCAGTGGAGCTGGTCGATCCAGTGGAGACATGGACGGCCGTCACCCCCCTCTATCGTATCGTCAACTTGGTTTGGCAATGACTGCCCCTCCCCCAAGTCACGCACGGCGCACAAACAACCCCTCGACTTTCCTCGACGTTGAACCTCGAGACATTCGGGGTGTTTGGTCCCTATTCGCCCGACGATTGCCCGTTTTGTGCGACACGACATCGAAAAAACTAGACAACCCTGAGCCGCTTCCCAGCCGCTAGCGCAACAACGACCAGTAGCAAGGCGTCTTGGTGACGTCGAGCTCTGTCGTATTAGTCGCCGTCCTTGCGACTCAGACTTTCAGCTTAGTTTCATCATGAGGATTTGAACAGCGCCATACAGAACGAGCTCTGATATCAACTGTACATTGTGACGCAACGAAGTGTCGACGCCTAAAGGACCCCATCAGTAGGGTCTAAGGTTGTGGAACCTTTAAACTACGTACCCTTGGGAGTATAGCCGCCGTGATATGTCGCATGGGCCAACGATGATGGGGGCCTTCCGGTCGAGAGATGGAGGGACAACTTGGCCTCCGGAATGCCACCAGCAGGAAACCCCAAGGTTTGGGGATGGTTCTACGCTCCAGCACCGGTTTGATTTTCACACCGCTTGGTTGCTGCTCCAATGATGGGTTTTTGGCTTTCGCGAGTGGAATATAGGTAGGTAATCGACGCAGGCCGTACACTCGCTCAATGCGGGCAGGGCTGGCGGTTGGAAGGAGCACGGAGTTGTTCTCTGGGGATCCCAGGGATATTCGAAACTGCCAGGGACCGTCTATAATTAAAAGGTCTTGACCGGACGAAGATGAAACCTGCTGCGCCTTCTTCGAGGTCCACATCCTGATTTTTGGTCGCAAAAGCAAAGAGCTTATTAGGGCCAGCGTCGTTATCGACATATGTTGAGAGCTTGAGATACCGCTGCGCAATGACCTGTCCGGGGGGAGCTCTTGTAGCCACGTGCGTCGTCACGGACGATACGACCCTGCGAAATGTCTCTTGAGCTGATCTCAAATGCTACTTGCATCCGGCCGCATGCGATTTCTTGGTTGCCCGACTTCCCGACCATTCGGCATTGTCGCCCAGAAACTCTCAAAGAGGATGGAGTATTGGCGACATCGAGCCCGGAGACAATGCTCTAACTTCGCATAGCTCTGGCAGGCTTGGACTCCGCATCTTTTCAAAGTCATGTGATGAACGCAGGTTACAGGCTACAGCTCCTTGCCACCCTATCTGCATCGAAGTGAAGTGGATTTGTTGGTGGGCCAGACGTAGAAACCGTGCGAGAGTCGTTTTAGCATCTGTCGTGGCCACAGACCCGAGAAGCCTGCATGTCCAGCTGTCAATCATCTGTCAGGACCGGTCGAGTGCGGTACGGCTTCCCCCTTTGCCAAGGTGGTGCTATCAATAGAAATCAGCCAGGTGTTCGACACAGGACATGTCCCGTCTCTACAGGGCCATGTCTTGGCATTCTGAGACAGCCGCAACTTGAGGTTCGCGTCAAGTGCATATCAAGTGCGCCGACCAGCCGATGTTGAATGTCGTCTGACCCAAAAACCAATGCGGATTGGATATGGTGTCATGATGCCCGACGATGCTCTTTACGCGAGATCTCACGCACACAGTCATGCCAACTTGTCTCACCTATCACCAAGGCTGCGTCGAATCACGGCTTGGCCAAATCGGAGCCTTGTTTAAGCCACGATCTCCTTGGCGGTATCCGTACTATGAACAGGTTGCAAGATTCTGGGGTTTCTTCCAGCGGCGTGGACAGGTGCTCATCCTCTCCTCAACTCTATCGTCTTACACGCCGGCGCCTTGGGCAATGTGGGTTTCGTATAGGAGGATGGCCTCCCATGGTTTACTCGAAAGACATAGTCCAAATCAACTCAAGGTAGGTGGTGAATCTTCCTCCCAGTCAGGGTAGCAAGCTACCGAGGATGGAACGCTCGCAACGCTCTGGAAGGCGTTTGTACAAAAGCGAGAAGCTGGTCAACACTTAGGCCTGTATGGGGTTGTAACCATTAGCCAAAACTCTTTCCGAAGAATATCTTGATATCAGCAGGCCTACCTTTGAAACCTTAGCATGCCGAGTGGCTCCAGGTCGATTAGCTTGGTGGGAACAGTGGTCTTTAGGTTGCGTTCGAAAAGGACGTTGAATTGGAAGCTTGGAGACTGGAACAGACAATCTTCAGATTCCGAGATAGGTTGGGTCCGGCCCACTTCCAAATGAGTAAGGTATTACCGCACGTCAGATCAGGATGCAAAGAGCTTGGCCTTTGGGGTAGAGGATTCGTGCTTGTCCTACTCGGTTTGCACAGCAATCTTAGCGTCTACCTGATATCAGGTAAACCGTTCCTTCCCATGTTATATGTGGGAACATCAGTCGACCTCTTTCCGCCTTTGAAGCGAGCTCCACATTGTTTTTAACCTGCCTTACGTTAGCGAGGACCTCTTTCTTCGCCTTGCAGCAAAGATGGAGGAAAGACCAGGTGAAATCGAGACTGGAAGAAGGGATGCATTCCTCAGGTACCGGGTGTTGGTCTGTTCCATACGACATGAATAGCTATTGCCGCCTATGGGCGAGTTCAGGTATCCCGACGATGTTCTTTCCAGGAGCATGTTTGGCGTTTGGCTCAAGCTCCGAGACTGGATACCTCGAGACCATATCTGCCCACTCTAGTCCGCTCCGCTGAATTTCTTTGCATTGCCGGTCTCTACGAGCTTCACGACTGCGCGGAAATAGAGTACGATGGATAGTCGTCCGACCAAAAATCGTAATCTGGACCTACATCAACGTCAGTACGGCTACTCTGGCGACCAAAACGTCGTGTCAAAGCATCCGCACCTGAAGGAACCATGGACAAGCCGCTCTGTGCAGGAAGGTTTGAGTCATGCTCCGGATGGCAACGTGTTTGGAGCCGCCAGACGTGGCACTGGCATTGTAGAAGACTGGCTTGTCAATGTCAGTCGTCGAGGCATCGATACTGAAAAGTCCGCAAACCGACTACCATCAAGTCAGGATAAGGGTAGTGATCAAACTCCAGGATGGAGGCCACACGGAATATCCTTGCAGAACACTGTCCGAGGTGGTCACAAACGTGCCCTATCGCGAGACAGCTCCATCATCCCCGAGCCGATGACGAAGATAGCCAGACCACCTACAGCGGCAAATCGCCGTGGCCCCAGCCATCGTTCTCTCGCGGCAAGGGTAACGGAAGTTCCCATATCGACAGATGGTTCTCCGCCCAGATTTGAAAAGCGGACGAGACACAAAATAAGAGAAGATCGATACGCTTCTCAGAAGAAGCCCAAAGCAAAGCGACGCAGGGCACCTGAGGAGACCGCTACGCGACCAGAAAATGTGCCGAAGAAGTCAGTCTCATCAGGTCGAGAAGTCATGAACAACTTCCAATCTGAAGCCATTCTTAACGACAGACTCACAGTGGGTAAGCCTTGGCTTTCCGAGGAAATCTTTGTTAACGAACCTTTAGCTCCAGCCATGCCTGACGCCAGGCCTCTTTCAAAATGGGCGGATATCTTCGCCAAAGCCTGGTAAGCTACCATTACCTGGATGCCCAGAATGCGCAACTGATTGTACTAGTTGGAGAGCTAGCCTACAACTCCATGGTTTCGGTCGAGCAGCCTCCATCACGCGAGTTTTCGTGGCAACGACAGCAACGCTTAGAAGCCAAGGCCAGACAACGGCGAGAGAGTGAGCTGGTGGAAATATCAGCAATTCTTCGTTGCAAGGAGACGCCCACAACAGTACACCCAGTCATAGGTCGAGAGCGACCTCGTGACGGGTACGACGATCGGAGTACGAGTGACGAGGTAGCTCAGAATTTTCCAGAATGCGACGATCGCTTGTCAACTAGAAGCATCAAGAGGTCTAATGCTCTTAGAGACGATCGACGCCACTATGTCCATGACAACACCTATGTCGCCCCGGCTAGACATAATCGGCCAAGCAGCAGAGCTACGACTTATGGCACTTGGGCCACCAGCGGCAATCATCAAACATCCTTGCCAGGCGACTCTTTTGACCGACACCACAGTAGTACCCCTGAGCCAATTAGGGAAGCGCTTCGAGAGACCGGTGTATTTAATGGTGCTGGAGCAAGTGGAAACGCTCGTGTCTCGTTGCATGATTCGTGCCAGCGCAGGAAAGAGGTGCATCCTGATGAAGAGTCCACGAAATCCAAAGCTTCCCGTGGACGACCATTGATTATTCGGTATCTGGATAAGGGAGTCATGACTACAGACGAACCGTCATTGTCACCTTGCGCATTGGAGGAATCCAAGAGTTTGCCAGGTACGTGCGATTCTTTTGCGCCAGAAGGTACGGTCGATTATAGGGCGAGGGTCTTGGTAGACACTACTACGCAAAAGCCGATTAATGAGCCGTCTGGGGGAGAGATAAACAAGGACTCTGACGTAGAGTCCCATTGTAAGACTGCCACTTCTACGACTCGAGCATCCACGGCCATACAAGCGTACCTGGTTCCACCCCTCCACAACCTCTCCACGCAAATGCAAGCAACGTCAGAGAACATCCGGGAATTGCAGACGAGAACACCGACCATCGAAACTGCCACTGAGGCAGTGGCTGAGGAAGGTCATGTGCGTGCGAAACGTGATGCCGAGCCCGAATATGGAGCAACGGCCGAGCAATCTGGAGGGAAAGTTGCGGCGCCAGAACGATCTGCCGTGCCTCCAATACCTTACCGGCAACATTTTAGTGCTCCAAATGCTCACAATTCGCCTAGAAGAGGTGCAAATCATCACTTTGCCTTGTCCGAACAAGAACCAGCTGGCAACAACCTCTACGATCATCTACCCCATGAGATTGGTCGTAGGGAAGAAGCCCTCTGGCAGCAACCAGTGTTTTCGCGACCGAGATTTCTGGTCAATCAACCAAGAAAACCTCATGCTCTTTCTCTGCCAGGAAGAAAAGGCCATAGTTCTATGACTAGATTCAACCCGTCTCAGTTCCAACCGTCGGAGAGCGTCGTTGACTTCATTGCGCGCGTCGAACAAGAGGTACTAGGACCGGATAGCCTAGGATACGAGGATAATCCGACCGATGAGACCGGCAATTGGCAGTATGACGACCGACTCGAACTGCGTTTGGACATATCCAGCGGGTCTCATCCTCTGGCATCTCAGGATGTTTCGATCAACCAATCCCTCGCAGAACCTGGTTGGAGGCACTTGGAAGACGCATTTGACCGGATCGAAGAGGAACCATCTGAAAACGGGCTTAATTGTGAGCGATTTGATCGCAGTAATCAATACTGGGGACAGCAGCAAGGGAAACAGCTGGAGAAGGACGCAAAGTACGACAAGGATGAAAATGATGAAATGCTCGCGTTCTGGCGGCCAAACTACTTTCATTAGCGACGTAGTCTACTCAGGCTGCTGGTCCTTCCATTTCGCCCGAAGGCTGGCCACGTCAATATCACACCTTTCTGCTTTCGCAATTATCGATTTCGCCTTTCCTGTTACTGGCGCGTCGATCATCATACCGTCCAACGTCCAGGCTCCGCGGCCCGCCTTGCTAGCTTTCTCGTCTGCGATTGCAACACGCACTGCCCACTCGACCTCCTTTTCGCCAGGGGCAAACAGTTTCTGGACAAGTTCTACCTGGGTTGGGTGTATACACTGCTTCCCGTTGAATCCCATGGACTTTCCTCCGGTAGACTCCTCTTCCAATCGTTTGAGGCCTTCATCTCCCTTGTAGGAGGTGCAAACAAGGTCGATCGCACTAGGTAAGCCGGTGGCCTTGGCAGCAGTTACAATGGCGGAGCGTGCGTAGAGAAACTCGGTGAGAGATGGCGTTCTTATTAACGATAAGTCCAGGGCAAAGTCCTCGGCCGCAAAGATGAGACCGCTTAGATATGGCGACGCCTTGCAGATTTCCGGAAGATTCATAACCGAACGCGCAGACTCGATCAAGGCGATGATTTTGATAGGATTCTGTGATGTCGCCGTGTGTCGTTCGGGGGCTACATGACGCAAAACATCGGTAACGTAAGTCAGATCGGCAGCGGAGTTGACCTTGGGAACAACGACAGCATCGATATTTGGGAGTGAGCCTAAAGACGTCAAGTCGTCCAGAGCAAACTTGGTTTCCACTGCATTGATTCGAACGGCCAATTCGGATATCGACGACGGCCTCGACTTATGCTTGGAGAGAAAAGACCGGAGCTGTCCTCGAGCCTCTGATTTCAATGAGGGTGTCACGGAGTCCTCAAGATCATATGTCACGTTGTCGGACTTGAGGCCCAACGACTTGGTCAGCATCTTTTCCGATGATGAGGGTACTGGAAGCTTGTCAGCCAAAATCTGAGTGGTTAAAGTGGCTGTAATCACCATAGAGCAACGCCCTACGGACGATTGAAGAGGACCTTGCCGCCATGATGGATAGCTGGTCAGACGCAATGCTACACCTTGGGGTTGTGTAAGCCGTATCCTATCAATCTTGAATTGATTAAAGTTGGTTGAAGTTATGAATGATAACTTCTGATGTGAACTGAGGTGGTTGGTAAATCTGGCCGCGACGAGATGCAGTTCTTCATCCCTCTGGCGCCGGCTAAACGTTGTCACTTTAAGGACGATACTCGGTAACTCGAGTTCGGAACTGGTAGCTCAAGTCGGCTATTTGGATGCTGCAACAGTGAAGCTAAGGCTCCTCTGATGATGTAATGCGACCACTGGTCGTTTCTGCCAGCTCAGACCGCTAATGGACCCCTGGAGCATCGGGAGCGCTAAGAATGGGACCCTCATCACCTCATGCACCAACGGGCCCCCTGGCGGAACAATTCAGCCTCCACCCGCCGAACAGCTTACCGTAGCTTCAACGGGTCTGGGCCAGTGAACGCGCATGGGAGGACAGCCAAACTGGAATCCACGCCTGCGGCTCGCGCATTACGACAGCTGTACCGTAATGAGTTTCTGGCCCTTTTTTCGAACAGGCATCCCTCTCGTCCTCTCTCCCCGACTGTCATCAGAAACCACGATATGCGCACGACGACGAAGATCGAGCTAAGCCCCTGATTGCGTCGACATACTATTTCCCATCGGCTTGTAAACGGAAATCTGAGCGATTGAACTTTTGAAAGACACGATACCTACCTAGTGTGACGGCCCCATCGAAGCCAACGAAACGTCTTAGTCGACACACACACACCGAGATGGAATCCCAACAGCAGCAAGATGCGCCGGGCTCCCTGAGCTGGCGGTTGAGCTCGCATTCCATCACCCTCTTGACCTTTCTTGCATTTCGGATATGTTAGTCAACCATCGAGCTGCCTGATCTCACCTTTTTATTGCTTTCGTCTTGATTGGGGAACTTGACTGACATGCTCTTGTGCGGGAAACAGCAAGTGTACTCGTGTACTTCCTCGGTCTGTGGATCATCAGAAGCATGTACGTCGTCGCAAAGCTCCCCCTCCCTCCTCGAACCTCGAACCGAACCATTCCTACCAATGGACCCCGACCTCTCGAGCTCTGTGCCTTGATGCATCAACATACCCCGGGCTAGATAGCTCACGTGGTCCAACCCCCCGACGGACGGGGCGTCTGCTACAAAGCTGCTGCCTCGTAAACTCCCGTTTGCTAACCCGTTGGCTTCTTTCTTCCCACAGGATCATGATCTTCATCATCACCATCCTCCTCCTCGCCGCCGACTTTTACTACCTCAAGAACATTGCCGGCCGCCGACTTGTGGGACTGCGGTGGTGGAACGAGGTGGACGTGCAGACGGGCGATTCGCAGTGGGTCTTTGAGAGCAGCGAGCCCGGCACCAAGACGATCAACCCGACCGATAGCCGCTTCTTCTGGCTCGCGCTTTACGTCCAGCCCGTCCTCTGGATCCTGCTTGCCGTCTTTGCGCTCGTGAGGTTGCAGTTCTTGTGGCTGCCGCTTGTTGGTGCGTTGCCCCCCCCCCCCCCTTGCCTGACACCCCGCCATCCCTTGGGATGATTGGGAGAGGTCTTCTTCTTCTTCTTCTTCTCCAGCCTTCTTCGCGATGATGAGGGGCTTGTTCTTTCGGAGGAAGTCATCTAAATACTTGGAGCAATGTGCTAACTCCTGCCGTGTTTGCAGTCATCGCCCTGGTCCTGACCATCATGAACGCCATGGCCTTTTCGAGATGCGACAAGTTCAGCCACGCGTCCAACCTGGCCGGAAGTGCCCTCTACTCCGGCGGTCTGGCGGGCAGCATCGCGAGCGGCATGGTCGGCCGCCTCTTCAACCGCGGTTAAGTCACATTCACCGTCTTTAGTGTAGAGCACGACATCGGGGGTTGTTTTGGGAGCTATTTGCAATATGACGAGTCAGCGGGTAACCCCTCAGCAGAGAGGAAAGCCCTGTTCCTGGTCTTGATGTGGCCGTTGTGGCCAACGCAAAAGCAAAGAGGTAGAGGGAGGGACAACCAGAAACCCACCAATCGTAAAAAAAAACAAAAAAAACAAGACGAGCACACTGCCCGTTTTCGCCGCAAGGCCGGAACGGAACGAAAGGTGGTGAAGGTTTGTGATATTGCTATACCCAAGCTGTATACTAGACATGTACGCATGACCCGGAAGGTGTTTTTTTCTTCTTCTTTTTTTTTTTCAAATGATCAAAGGCTTTTTTTTCTCCTGTTCTTCAAAAAATAAGGGCAGCGCTGTCCAGCCTACCTTATGCCATGACGATGCAAGATTTTTGTTTAGGTCAAGATGATCAGTGAGGCGAAGTGCAGAACCTCTCTGCCTTTTTGGCAAATGGTGATGGACCAGAAAGACGTTCGTAGCCAGGAGATACATGTGCAGTATATCACAATTGATTTACAGTTCATCTTTTCACATGTTTCAGACAAGTGGTTCATCTCGATCATCAATGGGAATGAGCCTGAAGGAACCGAATAACTTTTATAGTCTTGGTAATGATGTTTTGTTGTATTTCTTCATGAGTTTGTTCTTCTTTCATACTTCATCTACTCTAATCCGCTACCTCTTCATCGCTTTTTTCTTGTGTCAATCAATATACAAGCTCTGCATAGCACCCCTACAAAATCCAACGTTTAGAAAGAGGACCGTTGATGCTGAGTGGGTTTGCTGTTGAGCACATATATGTAGAAACAAGCGCTGGTTCCTGAACCTTGAACCGAGATAGGAAGAGGCGCCTCCGCTATACCCAATATCGCTGTCCGTAACCTCCGTCTCCATCATTCCTCTTCATCCATGCCCTCGTGGCCGGGCTCTGGCGAGGGCTCGAACTCCATGTCAAACTCGTTCTCGTCCATGTCGAACATGAGGTCTGCGGGTATCCGCTGGGCCCCATCGCCTGGATAACTAGAATCCTCTTCATTCTCGAGAGACTCCTAATTCTTCGGGCTGCTGCTCGCCTGCTCCCCCAACGGCGACGGTACACCGCCGCCGCCAGGCGTCTGGCCCCTTAGCACAGTAGCAGCCGGTGCGCTCGCGGGACTTCCCCGCCTCGAAATTTGATTCCTAAGCGCGACGATCCGATGCGCCTCAAGCCTCTTCTCTTCGAACGTGCGGCTGCGCTCCCGCTCCCTCTCAATATTCTGCTTGCGCTCCGCGAACTCTCTATCGACCTCGGCAAGCTTGGCATTCTTCTCCGCCGACGTCTTGAGCTTCCTCTCATACCGCCCGCAGACCTCGTCCACTCTACGTGCAACCGATGGAGACACAAGCTTGGGCAGCACGTCATCGGGTCGCCGACGGGCAGAGTCGCCGTAGAAGCAGCGGAAAGTGACCTTAGTCTGGCTCGTTGTGTCTGCGGCGGTACCCCAGACTACAATCTCATCGCCGTCGTAAAGTTGAACCCAGTTCTTGGATGGGCCGGCTGGGTTCTTGCAGTCGTGGGAAGGGAGCAGGACTCCATTGAGCAGGACGCCGTTTGTTGCCTTTGTGGACAGGTAAAAGGCGAATCCTTTGCCATCGGGACTCTTGTCCCAAGGATGCTTGGTAACGTCCTTTGAGGGGTCGTAACCGTCTTTCCATAGCAGGATTTTGAGAGCGTACTTAGGCACCCGAATTTCCGTCTTCTGTTCATAGATCACCGTGTTGGTCGGCCCACGTCCCCATGACAGCAGTGAATTGGTCATGGGGACCGAGATGCCAGAGACCACCGAACCAGGAGCTGATTCCAATACACCGACGGCACGTTTCGGTCCATCGTCAGAAACAGGCACTATTATCTTCTGTGTATCTGGAGGAAGGGTGTCTGGTAGCGAATCTTCTTCTTCTTCCTCTTCTAGTGGCGGTGCCGTCGGAGGAATATCCCATTCTGTACCCTCCAGGACTTTCCTGTCGTCTCGTTTCAGTAAAGCTCGATTCGTGTCGTCAATGGTCGACTGTTCTTCTGCGTGCGTGGCGAGGACACCATTGTTTGGTGGAAAGTACTTGAAAGCCAACTCCCACAATGGAGTCTTTCCCGGACCAAACTCCTCTCCCCGGCTTTGAGCTGCTTTTTTGAACGTTTCGTACTGTAGTTGGGTCATCTCAGGGTAGCGGAGATGCCATGTTTCGACATTGTTCTTCCAAAAGTTCATCTTGTTGAATGGTCCGTCTATTTGGCGTCCAGACTCCAATCTCTTAATCTGCGGTATTGACGCGAGCAGATTGTATTCCTCCATTTGCTTTTCTGCCAACGCGTCGAGGTTGCCCTCGGACTTCAGGCGCTTGAAAGTTGGCTTTTCCCGCGGCCGCGGTTCGAATTCGTCGCTTGTGTCGAACGATGGCGGCTTCCTTTTGCTGGCGGTGAAGAATGAGCCGTTTACTTGACTAACGTCCGCGGACTTCATCTGAATATCGCTACCAAAATCGGTCGCCCCTAGACTTTGAGACGCAACGTTTTCAACCAGGCTTCGAAGTTGATCCGCGGACTGGCCATTGGCCGACGAGATGGACAATCGGACTCCGCCGCTGCTGGCCGACTTTTTGCCGATAATGGTCGAAACGTCACCAGAATCGCAACTGTCCAGGATTTCCGTCTCTACACTCTCGTTGCCGAGAACTCCCGAGTCGGCCACAGGCAGGTTCAGTCGCTCTGCCGGTATCGCCCCCTTGCTTCCCACCGCAGACATGTTCACCTCTCCAAACAGTCTCGGACCAGCACCCTGTCCGCGAGGGCCGAACGTGCCGTTCTCCTTTTCTGAATCCTCCTCGATGAAGTCGTTGACAATATCATCGTCCACCTCGTCCTCCAGTGGCAATTCCGTATCAAGCAAATAGCGTGACTGGCCCTCTTCTAGACTGAGTTGAGACGCATTGACCTGCAGCTCTTCATCCTCGTCGGTAATTTCGTCGAAGGACTGGTCATAATTCGTCAGAGATTTCAGCCTGTATGGCCCTAACCAGGGGTGTGACTGAAGGTCGCGGACAGTTGCCCGGCATTCTGGCCGTTTCTCTAGCATGTAGCATAGAAACTCAATGCCTTGCCTTGAAATGTTCTGTCGTACCAAAGGAGTGGTGTTAAGGGGCACCGTCATGATGGTATGCAGCAACTCCGAGTAACTGACACCGTTATTAACTGGATACGGGGGGCGGCCCGTCAACGCATAAAAGAGCACGCCACCGAGCGACCAGACATCGACAGCGTGGTCGTATCGCTGTCCAACCGCCGCGCGCTTAGCTCTATTACGAGGGTGTCGGCGGCCGTCGTCATCGTACTCGGCATACTCCGAGTATACCTCGGGCGCACAATACAACAGCGTTCCGCAGAATGTTCGAAGGAAGGTTTGTTCGTTATCGACCATCTTGGAGAGGCCGAAGTCGGTCAGCTTCACCTCAAAAGGGTCGAGTGATGAAATGAGGATATTGTCAGGCTTGACGTCTCGATGCGTAATGTGATTTTCGTGCAGATGCGCCAAAGCGCTCAGCAGCTGGGCTGCCATTTGCTTGACGTTAATCTCAGCCAAACAGCCTCGGCCGCTGATGAGTTTTCCCAAGTCACCACCTCCGACGTACTCCATAATGATGATAAAGAGCCGGTTGTCCCAATCGAGGTGCTCTATGTACCGTACAATGTTCGGCTAATTGGAGTTAGGGGGGTTCAAGGTAAGAAAAGGGGCTCAAAGTAGAACTTACGTGCTGGACCTTTTGCATGATTCTCATCTCATTTTCCACCTTTTGATCGAGGACGCCGTTTTTTATGAAGCGCCGCTTCTCTAATTCTTTGGCGGCGTATGGGACTCCGTCGAACTTGGACGTAACCTTGTACACAACCGCAAAGGCTCCCTTACCAATCTGGCTGACGCGGTTGTACCTACCAGAGCCGTCCCAGTCTCTCGGAAAGCGGTCGACGTTATCTTGTGTTGTTCCGGATGGCAGCGCTATCCGCCGTGTGGTGGCCGTCTGCGGTCTCCTAGGAGCAGAGAACAAGTCGACATGCCCACCAGGACCCGGTACCAATGTCTCGTTGACGTCCGGCACGCGCAAGACTTCCATTCTAGCAAAGTATCGCTGGAGTTTGATGTTGTAGGCCCTCTCATAATCACCCACTCGCTTCGGCATCCTGACCATGAACTCGAGGTCGTGCTGCTCGTTATGCATGAGCACCTTGATCTTGGAACCATGACTTAGCACCCTCTTCATGTCGCACTTCTCGTTGGGGCTCTTAGGCTTCGAGCGCAGCAGCACTTGGTCGACAAAGGTCCCGTTGGTGGATTTGTCCTCGAGCATGACCACACCGTACTCATTGACATAAATGCGAAAGTGAATGTTGCTCAGGCGTTTCATAGGATCCTTATTGAAGCAAATGTCACACCTGGCTCCGTTCCTGCCAAACAGGAAACCGCGAAGGGGATCCTTGGTCTCGGCCGACAACCTCAATATGATTGCATGTTCGACGCTGGGCGGTGTCAGCTGGAATTGGTCGGCCGTGTCTTCCCTTTCGTAGTCGGGCTCAACGGCATCCGCTTCCGCTCTGCCGACAACATGAGGCGAGCGGTCCTTTGCTATGCGTTCTACTTCGCCTCGTGCAGACTTAGTGTGAGGGTAGAGGAGGCAGACAATATCGGATATGTCCTCGTCGGAGAAGCCTGAGTTCTGCTTGCCTATGCGGCGCGGATCAAGAACATTCTGGGTAGCTATATGGCGGAGAGGAGGAAAAAGGGTCAGCGTTCTGGTCTATTGGTCTATTGCGACAATTTGCTTGGAGCTCAAGATTGGGATGAAATAAAAGGGCATACCTTGGGTGGGCTGCGACCCATCACCCTCCATCGGGACCACTGGAGAAGATAGAAGCTGGTCAAGCTTGTTTAGGCTGCTGTCGTCGACCGCAAGCTGGGGTCGACGGTCGGCTGGCGCTGGAGGGGAGTCGATCGAGATGCGCGGCCGGAAAGGATAGTTTCGCAGTCAAAAAGGAGAAGCTGGCGATGCATTTACTACTGAATGTGGGCGAATGGAACGGTAATCGACGTTGAGCTTAAAGAATGATGTCGATGTTGAAGGATGTCAAGTACGTCTTGACTATTTGCGCCGTAGGCTTCAATGGGAAAAGCGTAGGTGGACTCGGTGGTTCGCAAGGGCGCCTCGTTTCGTTCCTCGATGTTCGATCCAGTAGGGGGGTGGCAGTGGTGGTGGTGGTGGTTGGGTACGAAGTATAAGGTATGTTCGTCGTGGGTCTGCGCGTCGTTCGCCAGGAAGTTGAGAAATTCGTAGGAGGCAACCCCAAAAAAGAGAAGTCGGGGTACCTTGCCTTGCCTTATTGCGCTGTAATCGATAATGCGATGGGCGAGGTGGAGGGGTTGTTGTATGCAAAGTCGATCCCCGGTCACCCGGCAACGTCGTATCTTTATAAATCAAGGATGTGAGGACGTCATGACCAGCCCAAGCAGGTACATACAGAGGGGCAAGGAGCAGCAGAGTGACTGGTGAAGCAAGTGAATCGCGACGCCTTGTGCAGCAATCAAACATCGGCTGGAAATGGAAATGAGGAACAGGCCCGGGTGGAGAGAAGGGCAATAACAAGTGTCAATTTTAGGCAGCGCGTGGTTGCTTTCCGGACAGCGCGTTGCAAGTCAGATGATGCAAACTTGGAGGCGTGAGTTGGGCATGCGCGTGGGCGTGGACTCGACCTTGAAATCACAGAGAAAATGTCTCTGAGTTTGGAAAGATGCGACGAGCCACTGGCTGGGGGGTCCTTCTCGGGACGCAGAGGGCGTTGAGGGGTCTTGGTCCGTCCCGTCAGGTCCTGTGTAATCAGTGGCCACGAGGTAGCAAGAAGCACCCGCAGCCGCTGTCAGCCAGTCGGTGCCAGGTACTTGGACCTTGTCGTCTCCACTAAAAAAAATAATGTATCCTCCGACTTACACGGCACCCGCCACCAAGACGCGCCAAAAGACGTGACGGCCAGGACAAGTCAAGACGCGGCGACGTGACGGCGGAGGAAATCGCGAGCCATTTCCACGGTAAGTAGTTGAAGTGGCGATAAACTAAGGTAGGTACGCACGGTACGCTTCCCCAAGCTTGAGCCTCGGGGCAGTCGAATTGAGTTGCCGGTGGACCAGCTACCTCGTTTCTAAACGATGCCTAAATGGCTACCACATATACGCCGTCTCCTAGTGTCAAACTTCACAAGTGAACTCATGAGCGGAAACAATCCTCACCGACTTCACCTGTCTGCCTAACAAGGGAGAACTTGCCTCGCCGATCCGGGCCTGAAGATGCCCGCCCGTGCGCAGGCTACAGCACCTGAATACTTGTTAATCACAATGCACATTCATAGTTGACTATTGCAATCATTCTCGTCAAACTCTGACCTCGGGAATCAGGAAGTAGGCAACACCAAAATAATCTCAAAAAAAAAAAAAAAACCTCTCTTGTCTTGTAATGCTTATTCTTTTTCATCATGGGTGTTCGGCCGTCTCTGCTAGTCATCAATGCCAACCGTCGGCCATGCTATTATCCAGCCTCTACTCAACAAAAGAAATCCCAAATGCTTGTCCTGTCTAGGACCAAAGACTACAACCAACTCAATTACTTCTCTCCAAACGCCTTCCATGTGGCCGTTCCAGATGATTTTACACTCTTCCGAGACGAAAGCGCATCGCCCCCATCTGCTGGTATCAACTCAATCAATAAAATCGAACTTCTTCCTTCCTCTCTCTCTGTCTCGTCTCACGGTATACCCTTCGTCATTCACACGTCTAAAACGCCTGTCCCTGGTACGTGGCAGGGTAGGCTTGTCCACGTCCGCCCTGACGAGGTCCCGGGGAGTACTGGCCTTGTTGCTGCTGCTGTTGCTGCATGAATCTGGGATCCATCATCTGCGGTCCGGGAGATTGACGACCCTGGCGCATGGCCATCGGGTTGGCATAAGAGCCTCCCTGGCTGTATCCGCCTCCCTGGCCAAAGGTGCTGGCCGCACCTCCGTAGGTGCTGGCGGTACCACCGCCTCCGTAGTTGCTCGCGGGGCCGTAGCTGCTACCCTGAGCGTAGCCGAAGTTCTGCGCAGGCCCTGTTGCGTATCCGTTGGGCTGTCCTCTCGGCTGGCCCATTTGGCCCATCTGTCCCATCTGCCCCATCTGCCCCATTTGACCCATCTGGCCCATCTGGCTCATTTGGCCAACGGACATGTTGCTCTGAGTGTACATGCCTTGGGGAACCATGCCCTGGGGAGACATGGGCTGCTGTTGCTGGGCATACATTTGTTGCTGTTGGTAGACCTGCTGCTGCTGTTGACGTTGGAGCTGTTGTTGATAAACCATAGCTTGCTGCTGCTGGCGCTGGTTGATGGCTTGCTGCACCGCCTGCGTGTTCATGCCCTGCTTAGCTCGCTGTCTTTCCTGCTCGCGAGCATGGATCGCACCAACCAAGCCAGCTCCCTGCTGCTGCTGGTTCGCATTGCGGTTGCCGGCCATCGTAATGAGGGGCGAGCCCGTCATGCGAGCAACATGCTCCTGTTCGCGCGCCGACAGGTGGGATGACACCTCACCATTGCTAGACATGTCGAGAACGGCGTTGGCACCGCGAGAGCCGGGACGCTGCAGGAGATCCGCCGAGCTGCTGCGAGAGTGACGAGCGAGCATCTCTTGGGAGCCGCTTCGGGTCATGGCGGGAGTTGGGGTCATTGATCGCATGGTAAGAATGTTACCAGAAGGTGTCCTGTTGTGGGCGTACATGGGAGCAGGCGGTTGGGCCGCACGCTGTTGAACAAACTGCTCCGCGCTCATGCCTGGACCGCTTGGCACAGCGGCGGCACCTGGTTGCCAAGCAACCTTTCTGACCGTATCCTCAGATTCTTGTCGATTATGGCTGGAGTCGATGGCAGTAGGAGACTTCATCGCCGCCGGAGAGAAAGGCCGTTGAGGGCCGGGCATGGCCTGGTAGGTCATGGGCGTCGGTGTCTTATTCCTTGCGGGCTGATTGGCTCCGTAGTTGACGGTAGGCCCGAAGTTGACATCGGGAATGGCGGACTCTCCACTCTCGGAATCGGCACCACCCACAGTCTTCAGAACACCTGCTCTGGGCCGCTCGAAAGACTTTTGAGAACGCTGTGTCTCACTGGACTTGCGACTAGCGTAGTCTGGGCTCGCGGTCGAAGATGCGTCGTCGTAGTAGCTGGCGTCACTCCTCTGCGTCTGAGCTCTGTTGATCTGCTGCTCAGGAACCGGCGTCCGCTGTCTGGGGTCGCGAGGCTGAATTTGCTGGAATCCCGCTTGGTCGATGATGTGGTTGCCCCAACTGCCACCACTGGATGCCGAGATGGGCGTCTGTTGCTGAGGGCTTCTCAAGCTGTCCGATCGAGCCGGTAACGGTTTGCGCTGGAAGGCGGCGTTTGTATCGATCCCAGGGAGCGGGACACCACGGCCTTGAGCGCGAGGGTCTCTACCATGCGGAGGCGGCGGTGGTCCCATGGACTGAGGTCCCATTGCCTGCGGGTTCATACCGCGGTTTCGCATTTCCGGAGTAGGCACTCGGCCCGGCCCACCCAAAGGGGGAGTTCTGGTACCATCAGGTCGCGAAAAGTTGCTGAAAGACGGCTGAGGACGGATCTGAGGGGAATATCCCTCAACTGGGCTTCTCATCTGCTGAAGGCCTTCCAAGTGTTCAGGAGGGGGAGGGGGTCTTGCGTCTTGAGGGCCGCCGCGGCTTTGAGGGTTGGGAGGCAGGGGACCCTGGGGGTGAGGGCTAGGGGGGCCGAACGACTGCTGGGTAAGGGGCGATCGGGAACGCTTCTGGTTCATGGGCGGAATAGGGGGCGGGAGACCACCGGAGGGAGGAGGGGTTTGGTTAGGGGTCAGAGCTTCACGAGACATTGTACCGTTAGCAGTGCCTCCTACGTGGTGGTCGGGATAAGCTTGAGGATGTACCAAAGGACCAGATGGCGCAGCATCCTCCCCACTCCTCCGCTCAGAAGACGCATCGGATGGGCTGTCGGGGGGAATCACAAATCCTCCTGCTTTCGTCAATTGGGAAAGGGTAGTAGTTGACAACCGAGTAGTAGCCCTGCGAAGATCTGGAGAGTGATAAGGCTTGCCTGCAGGCTTGGAATTGGGACCATAGTTGAATGCAGGAGGGGCGGCAACAGGCTCTGGCGACTCCATCTGGCGCACAGCTCCTTCGATCTCTCGCACCGGTGTGCTCCGAGCTGTGTCTTCCTCGGAACTCTGGGTTCCTGAACGAAGGATACCTCTTGCAGGGGGCGGGCCACGTGCTGGTGATGGTCCCCTGGCTGGCGATCGAGCAGGTGAGTTGTTGTAAGAGTTGCTGTATGAACTGTCATAGCCACGATCCTCAGGGCGCTGGGGTGTGTGGCCAAGCAGATGAGGGTCTGAAGAGTTGCGTGCATGGTTGGCCTTGTTCATGATACCAGCCAATGCGGGAGGTGCACGAGACGTCGTTACAGGCGTGCTCTCTGAGCGGCTGGGGGTGCCCAGTGACATTGATCGAGAAGACCGGTTTGAAATGGCATCAGATGCAAAGCCAACTCTAGGCTTGGCCGGCACAGGGCTAGAGGTGCCATTGCCGAAGCTGAGACGGTTGCTCTTCTTGCTTCCACTTCTTTGACGCATGGCTTGCGACTCTTCGGCTTGATTCATTCGCTTACCAGTAAGCTCCTTGAGCTTCTTTCTCCAGTCACGTTCCGACCAGCTTGAGCTGCCTTCTTCATTGATCAGTGTTGTAACGTCCATAATCTCGAGGTAACCGTATCTGCGGTGCTTTGGCATGGCAAACATCAGCGATCTCGGGTCGAGGACACTGGCCACGAGTCTGCCAGGGCGACCGTAGAGGCAGAAAGTGTCCCAGGTAGGGAAGAGGAAGCGCAGCAGCATCTCGAAACCGCTGACGGCCGGGTGAGTTTCGGGCATGATGAAGACGAAACCCTCGGTGGACGACGGCGGGTCAGAGTGGATGGTGATGTTTCCCTCAATCTTAAGGAGCGTTGATGCATCAATCAGCGACTTGGCCTGCGGGTAGATGGCGTATGAGGAGTAGGCATCGGTGATGGTGGCGATCGGGCGAGCCTTCTTCTGCTTCTTGCCGTCCTTCTTGGTGTCGTAGAACTTGATGTCTCCCTTGAGAATCGGCGTCGAACGATCGTAAGGCGACTTTTTGCGCATCTCCTTCTGTGCCTTGGCATACTCCTTCTCGTCGGGGGGAGAAATGACACACCAGCACCGTCTCCAGGGGACTCCGGCGCCGAATCGCACACGCACCCATTCCTCGGTCTTGAACTTTTGTCTGTCCATGATGAGGTTGATGTTGTTGAGAGACTTGCCCTTACCGGCGATCAAGGCACCAGTGTAAGCCTCCTGCAGCGTCGAGTGCTCGTACATAGCGAGCCTGATGCCAGCTGTCCATTGTACCAGCGAGTGATGAGAGTTGAAGTGCAACAGATAACGGTTTCTGCCGGCAGTTGAGACGCTGAGGATATTCTGCAGCGGCTGTTCGTCATTCGATCGTGTTGGTAGGGATTCGATCTATACGCCAAGGGCGTGGTAAATTAGCACTCGATCCCCCGCACCGTCGCACTGCCACCAATTCTGACAGGTTTCCCCAATCTGGCTGGGCACGGCAATCGGGACTCGACATACCATTTTGATCGAAGCGTCAGTCAAGTTGATGAATTTTGGGAGGATCTCGCCGTCCTCGCCAGCAGCATCGAGCTCTGCTGCGTCCCATAGTGATAGTACGGTTCCGACAAGCTGAGCGAAGCACTCAGTCCATGTGCGGTCGGCATTGGGCTTGCCCTCTGTGAAATTGGTCAGAGGTCGGTCCGAGTGTTATGCGCGTCACCACCGGCTAAGGTCGCCGCAGACGCAAAGGCAAAAACAAAAAACCCCTAAAAGATAAATATATAAAGACTCACGTGTATTTTGGTCATCCAACTTGAGAAAGTAGCCTTCCTGATACAGCTTATTCGCATGGCTGTTTAGGAAAGTGAAGATGGGCTGAAGCTCGGGAATGGTATCTTCGTTGATATCCATGAGGGGCGGCTGGTATGGCATTACCATCGAAAGTGGGCGGGAGGAGCTGCGTTGGCGGCCAGAGACGGATCTGGGGCTATTTACGGGCGAGCTGTTGGCAGTACCGTTTATGGGCGATGACGCATATTCGGATGGTGGGCGCGCGGGCGAAGTAGGGGTTGCGGGGCGCTGGCCAAAACTGGCGGGCGGTTCTGGAAAGGGTTCTGTCTTGTGAGGTGAAGGTTGTTGTTGGTGTTGTGTTGGTGGTGGATTTGAGCTGGGTTGCGACTTGAGGTTGTATGGAGGAAAAGGTGTCGCCGCGTCGGGGGGAGGTGACGAATTTGGAGTTGGCTGGTTTGTCTTGCTGCCGTCCCTCGAAGTGGCAGAAAATTGGGACATGAATGAGAGGACTGTTGTGCCCATCGAAGCGGATTTGGTCAGCATGATTGCGCGCGCGTCCCGTCTCTCTCTCTCTCTCTTTTCTTGCACACAGTCTACACCTCAGTAATACTAGCAATTAAAAAAAATCAAAGCCACTGGGTCATAAAAAGTAACAATATCGCCTGGTGCCCGACTAATTGGCCAGGACCACCGACTGGCCGGGGTTGAGCGGATGTGAGGGGGATTGCGAAGGGAGGAGCGCAAGGGGAGGAGGGGGGTCCCCGGCGGCGGAGGAGGACGAGGGCGGATGGCGAGGATGGCCGAGCAGGAACGATACTGGGGCGAACGAGAAGCGGCAGGGAAGTGTAAAGGTAGGGGATTAATAGTGAGGACGAGTATCCGTACGGAAGGATGGTGAGAGACTCAAGCCTCGAAACTGGGTTCAGGATTCTGGTGATGCAAAGCCATCCAGGACCAGCTGAGGACAGAAACAAGGCCGGGCAAGGGTATTTGATGTTTATGCTGCCAAACAACTGCATTGCGCAGTAAAAGGGATATTGGGCATATTAGGATTGGGATGCACGCCAGCAACACGCGCCAGCGCGCAACCAAAAAAGCCTCCTACGCATGATGGCCGGTGCAAGGGCTGGGCTGGGAAACTTGGGAAGGGGTGTGTGTGTGTGTGGCTGCCGACTGCAGCAGGCTAAGAGGAATCGAGGATGGGAACTTGGAAGACACGACTATGCGACCGACCGACTTGAGAGCTGGAAGGGGGAATGTGGGAGCACGAACCTCGATTACGGCCCATCTTTGCGAATTCGCTGGGTGCTTTCGTGGCCGACGTTTGCCAAGCCAGCAACCATGCAACCAAATTACTGAGAGACAACCACTTGCGCCGTGCGCGACCAAGATGGTCTTGGATGAGCAGGACAAGGCCCTCTAGCCTGTCGAGACGAGGATGTGAGGAATGAGCAGAGATGCGATGCGGGTGGCCCCCAATATGCTATGGGCGCACAACTGGGTCTGGGAACGACGGGAGGGATTCGGGGATTCGAGGGTTTCGGAATCGACAGCTTCGGCCGTGTCACTAGCGCAGTTCCTCTTTCTGTCTCTCTGTCTCTTTCTCTCTATCCACGTAACCTATGCAGGGTGAATTGCTCGGTTAGGGCGTACAATTCGGGGGTGAGTAAGAGACCGAAGGGTAGCCGCGCGGGTTCGTTCGTGGATTCGTGGTTCTCTCCGGCGTTAAGATTATCGTGTGGTGGTAGTGGATGCGATGTAATGGCGGACGAGCTGTACCTTTACCGTGAGGTATCCGTACGGGTGACTCGGCGGGAGGGAGGTTGCGCAGTCTGTAATCTAAAGATTCCGACTGACTGACGAAGCACACTCTCTTTGCGCGGCGAGCACAAAAAGGTGGAATTAATATGGATGATGAGCGAATAGAGGACCCGGGCGAACAAAGTAACCAAGTTTCGAGACGGGTGCGATTAGGATTTGGTCATGGAAATCTTCGGCTTCCGTCTGTATGTACGTGTCTCAGGCCGTTGATGGGGTGTCCTAAGAGCTGTTGGTGTTAGAGGGAGGTTGAGTTTAGTCGAGGAAGACAGATTCGAGATGACGCGGGGCGATCCGAGGAGCAGGACACCAGAAATCAGAAACCAGGAAACAGAAGAGGGAACAAAAGTCTCAAAAGGGTAGGAGAATCCCCGAGATGATGTATGAATCCGTACTGAGTATGGAGAGAGAGAGAGAGAGAAAGAGTCAAGGTATGGAGAGCATGGAGAGCATGGAAAGGACGGGAACGTGTCAAAAATCCAAGCACGAGGCGTACTCTGTACGGGAGTACCTCCGGGAGTACGGGAGTACGGAGGCGTATTATGCAACAAGAATTAGCAACACCGCCTACCTGACCTGCGACCTGCGACCTGCTACTTCATCTTTCCTCGCTCTTCTCTCGTACCCAGTCGTCACAGGTCAGTTGCTTGCTGCAGCAAGGTAGCAGTTTGGCAGGTGGTCCCAGGTCCGGGTCCAGCAGGAAACCAGACCAAAAAGATCAGCTCAAAGGTAAGGTAAGGAAGGCAAGGCAAGGCAAGGCAAGGCAAGGCAAGGCAAGGCACAGCAAGGCAAAAAGCACGGCCACAGGTGACCCAAGAGGTCTCCAACAGGTCAAGACTTGGAAACCAGGTTCAGCGGGTAGATCAAGGCAAAAGGACTGCCCAGAGGGTGCGGTGAACCTCAATTGTACTTTGTAACTTTTTGTGAATAAGGCCCCCGGAAGATTTGAGTAGGTAGACCGTGCAAAGAATGCCGCGGCGGTAACAGGGCTAGGCCCGTCCAAACCAATCCACGATGACCAACACACCAAGGCCCTCCCTCCCCCGGGAACAAGAGCCGACGACGTAATGGCGTTATGCCGGGGGCTGCAGTAAGTGGTCTTTCTATGCCGTCCTTGCGTACGCACGGCTCTGGCGGTCGCTCGGGCTGGGCTGGGCGGCCGTGAATCTTGACGACGATGATGATGATGTTGATGACTCTCTACCACTGCTCTTTCGGTTTTGGCGGTGCTTAGCCTCCCCCCGACAAGCGCCGCACTATCTGATGTGGACTGTCACTACTGTCATCTGTGAGGTGGGAACTTTATGGGGAACACTATGCGCCGGCCTTCCATTCGGGGAGCTCTTGGGGGTAGGTACGTTGGCTAGTTTTATTGTCTCTTCTAGGCCTTTTTCGACCTCCCGGTTTTTGAAACTTTTCAGGTTGTGTTGGTTTCCTTTCCTTGTTTCTGACTTTTCCTTTTCGTTTGTCTCTGTTTCTTCAGCTGCAGTCGAGACACTTTTTTTTTTTCACTTTACCGACTCTATTTGACAAACCACTGCAAGGGATGATCTGTACTGCTCATTCATTAAAGTAAAATGGCTGGAGAGAGACAGAGAGAGAGGAAAAAGAGAGGAGAATGATGAATGCGGTCAAAAGGTACTTCCAGATACATACATACCTCTCCTTCCCCGGCCAAAAAAGTTCAATAGCTTGCGGATGAGCCGGACGATGCAGCATGCAGCACGTCAAGGTTCCTTGATCCGCCTTTTGGCTCAGAGAGGTCGAGAAAAACCCAAGCCCTTGGCTGCCAAGAAGAGCCAGCATCCGGGCTCTGCGGGCTTAGGGTCTTGGTATTCTGGCTCTTTTGGATGGGATCGATGGATGCGAGCTGCGTGCATCGGCATCTGCTCACTCTTAGTCTCCTTCTCCATTCCCCTCCCCAGCCATTTCCGACTCCTCCAGACTGCTCTGAGTGGCCTCATCGTAACACCTGTCTGGGCGGCTGGGTACGACGGTTGAAGGGCCCAGCTGAGCCGCAAAAAAACAGGACGTGACAGAGGGCGTAAGCGTGTAAGACAAGAGACTCTCATCTCGACCCAAACGACTGGCGCCGGGGCAATGGGAAGGGCTTCGGCGCTACTCCATACTCTGTATACAACAGCAAGTTCACAACTAGCACCCACAAGTCTCGTCGACAACTCGCAAGCCACTGGACAGCGGTTGCAGCCCAGATAGCTTAGCCTGTCGAGGAAAAAAGTGCCAGGGTACGGCGGTCCGTAAGTTTAGTGTACCACTCTTCCTCCTAAGCAGGGGTAGCGTGGTGGGTGGACGCGCAACGCCCTCCCAACCCACAACTTCACAAAAGTGACAAGACCTGAAGAGAGATCGGGTGGATGAGGCGATCGCCTGGCTGAGGACCGACCGGAGCACTGCAGATGGGGGGTAGGGGCTTGGGAGGTGGGAGACTCGGAGGTGGTTCCAAACGAAAAAAAAAAAAAAAAAAAAAATGCGAGGTCGGGACGCCTAGCTTGCATCTCTCAACTCCTTGGCTACCAGTGACCCGTACGAGTGAATAAGGTAAGGCGCACTAGTAGCGGGACTAGGGACCTGACAGCGCAGGCGCCGGTGTATTCGTGATCCGTGCCGGGAGGTGAGGTGTGTTGCGGTATGGTCTAGACAGAGGTATCCGTAGATATCTCGGGACAATGTACCCGTTCTTCGATGCGGTGTGAAGTTGATATGCCAGGTATCCGTAGTCTTTGTTCCGACGCTTTTGTTTGCGTTATTGGACTATACTCAACTATTCTGTTTGTATGTTTCTTTCTCTCGTATAGATAACCTCGTTTCCCCCCCTAATATTTCGTCTTGAACTCTTTGCTTGTTGAGGTAAGGAGTTTGGTTCTTCGACGCTCTGCGGTACGCCGGTGTAGGGGGGGAGGAGAAAAGAGCCCGGGAGATGCGCCACCTGCCCCAATCCACGAGTCCACACCAGATCAACCCCTGGGCCACACGCCGGGGCTCTTGCGTGGGCTTGGTGGGCTACTTGGGACGGATTAAGGCACCACCTGACGTCTTGTTCCAGAACGTGGAGGGCTTCAGGTTTTGGAAAAAAGAGGCTGGGTAAGGTTTTGGGGGCCGAAAGGGGGGGATGAACCGAACGGACAGAGCTCCCAAGTTTGAGCACTTGAGGGTTCTTCCTGCTCACTGATTTCTTCACTTGGGTTGTCTCTATCCTGAAGGTATGTCTTCGGTGCAAATCGTTGCCGAGAGCTCGTTGTCGGGAATCCACCCCCCCAGTTGCTTGCTGCTTTCTGCTTCTGCTCACTTGCTTGCAGCTGGGCTGGGCATCTAGGCCCAGAAACTCCGTGCATCCCGGAGAGTTTGAGAGACAGAGTGACAAACTGTAGAGACGCAGCTAGTCCAATCAAGGAGTTTCTGGTCACTTTACCGCACTTGTCTTGAGTCCCGCGTGGCTGTGCAAAAAACTCAAGTGGTTGGAGAAGTGGCCAGTATTATCCAGTAGGCTATTCTCTTTCGGACGGAGGATCGCAAGTCATGCGGTGCCCGCAGCCAGCGATCGGGGTCTCGGATGTCACATTTGCGAGAGAGAGAGAGAAAGACAGCGTCGTTTAGCCCCCAGTTGAGTTGTCAGATGCCCGCCCGCCGCCGTCGCCGCCGCTATTCACGAACCCACCGGTCGGCCGTCACCGCAAGAGTAATGTCCGCTTCGGTCTCGGTTCTTGTTCGTCCCTTGCGAGTTCCCGTTGAGATTTGACATCTCTCTGCCCCGCGGCCTGCCTCGCCCGCCGCGTACGCTTTCGCGAAATTGAATCTGATTTGTTCAAGACAAGTCGATGGTAGTGAGATTATGAATGCAGTATGTACTAGGTACTGTATGTACGCGAGCTAGGGAGACGGACATGTTCCAAACAGTCGCCCGTGTTGCGGGAGGGAGAGTGAACCAACCCTTGTTGGCTTGGCGATTCGTCCTGGCCATCCAGTCGCAATACCGACCGCACTTGATTCATGATACGACACCACTTCCATCGAGGGACATGTTGTCGTCTTATCAAGGTCATACTCGTTCTTCTAGGGTCGGACGGGGATTTAGTTTCAGCTCTCGAAAGGAAGCGTGGTCACTCTCTATGGTCGTTTGGCTACAGAGGGGAATCTAATGGTGATCCAACGCCGCAACGTCTTTCCCCGGCCCGAGGAACCACGTGTGGTAAGGTTCTTTAGGCACCTTATCCAACAAAGTTCCTCCTTGCCTGAATTGTTTGATGCTTAGGTTGATACAGATAACCGTGCTACGTACTTTTCCTATGGCTACACTCCCTGGCTATGAAAGCCTTCCTGCATCATAGTGCCATTCTGTCCAAGCTCTTTAATCAAGGTTAGCTGTTAAACACAGCTACAATACACTTCAACCCGGTCTCCTAGACATTTGTAACCTTGAGTGAACCGCACTTTTCAGGGATCCGCGTCCGACTACCAAAACATAGTCAAACTGGTGTTCCTCAATGAGGTAGACAACACAGCTAATGCGCAAAAGTAAGAAACCATGAAAGGAAGTCCAGTGCCGACTTGGCTCCTGGGCTTTTCTGCCACCTCTTCCGTGATTGTTCAGGAACCCCGGCTCAGGGTCATTATGGAGTGTCCGTACGAATACCGAGTATCGACTAATAAGCCGTGTCCAAGATCGCAGGGACCTAAGGACGGTAAGGACCCTATTCAATCTCGGAGCGAAGACGCAGCGAACCCGCTTGCCAACTCTCGAACACGTATTTCCGGGGCATGGTTGTACAGCATGGCATGATTTCGTCGACTTTGATGCGCCTGCCTCATTGAGTCGCTGGCGCCAAAGGGGACAAACAGGGTCCTCCCAGGCGGGTCGAGTACTCCGAAGAGCTGGGGCATCGATATCCATACGTGTACTCCGTAGATGAGGGGGTCCCAAGGGTCGAAGAGGGGCCGTTGACGCCGGCCGTGGCCCCTGTTTCTCTTGATTGCTCTTCTCTAATCGTATCGGTAAAGATACAGACTTACAGAGTACCCGTACGAACAGTCAGCGACCGTTCGTTGGTGGAGGGTTTGCTGCCGCCGTCTACGCTGCCTTCCGGTGAGATCTGCCGTCAGAATTGTGTCCGATGTGAAACCACCAGACCGGGCGTTCGCTCCCCGTCATTGGTAGTAGCTTCCCACAAGCCAAACGCAAGGATGTCGTACTGCTCTGTGCATCATCTGTACGAATCCAAAGCATAAAGTTAGGCACGAATGATATTGGACGAGTGGCTCTCCTACAACCCCCGTTAATGTTGTTGTTATTGTTGTTGTCGTCGTCGTCGCTCTCTGGAGTCTGATGTCTCCTCCGCCGCGCTGCCCGCTTGCTTACCGCTGTAGCAAAGCTCAAGTCTCACGCAAGTATTCCGAAAATGCGGACATTGAAAGTGAACTGAAGGGTCCATACGAGGGCCCCCTGTGTCCCGCATGCGTCAATATTCTGCCCCCCTCTTCAAAGCTCCATTGCCATGCGGCCGGGGCAAGGGTTGTTGTCCCACCCCGAGCAGTCACTTTTCACGACCCCTCCGCTGAAGGGCGGCAAGGCGAACTCGGAATCCGCACAGATTTCCAGAGGTAAGCCAAAGGTAAAGCCTGACGGAGACGAGTGTCATCCGATGGGCCCTTGGCAAACAGCGACTGGCTGTCAATTGCGAGAACGAATCGAATAGCTGAGGATATGTTTCTGGGCTACTCCTCCATGAATGCGCTTACCTTTCACAAACTCCGCCCTGCTTAAAAGGTTCAGGTTCTATGACCCAATCATGTCGGAGACCGAAGCTCGAAACGAAGCAAATACGGCGGGATACGAAATTCCCAGCCTCCACCTAGGGTGCTCTGTGTCGATGAGCTAATAAGGCAATGCAACGTCCAGGGCTCAGTCACCTATCGACCGACTATCGAGTCTAGCCCTGAGCTCTAACAGCACAATGATGAATGGTACGGGTAACGACAGGCTGGCAGCAGAGAACTCTGCGCTGACGTAAGAGTTGAGGTCGGCCTTCACGGATAGGTACCTACTTTGGCGTCAAATGAGACGAATCCCGGCCTACGGGGCGGGTTCGTCGGCGGCTCGGGCAGATCCTTCCTCGACGCGCGTTGATCGACCGTGGGCAGTGACAAGACAATGAGAGAGGTGTGTTGAAGGCCTGAAGCAAACAGAAGCGTGGTCTCCAATGACAACGTATGCTCATCAAACTTCAAAGTCCCGGCCCCCGATCGATGACTGAGTGAGCCAGCTGTATCCGTAGGCTGTTGGTCAATACTTTGCGTCAGCCCCGTTACGTCATGTCCGGTGAACCGTGGACTGTGAACGGGGAGGGGCTCTGGCCATCCCTACCGATCTACTGAGTTCACAGACCGCGCTGGGTTGGGAAAGCACACGTTGATAATGGGAAAGGCCGGTCTGGACTCTGGATGCATGGGCAGATATCTTGCAATGGCGAGACATGGCAAATGAAAGTTTATGGAATTCGTAGACACGGATAGCGATTGAATGTCTCGGGCGCCAGGAACCATTCTCTTCAGTCTAAGACAGAGACTTCAGGGAGACAATGACCTGAGAGCATAGGCTGACAAGAGGATCAAACGGTTCGTCAGAAGCCGACAATCCGAACTGTAAGTTTTGCGTGTTTCCTTGACATTTGTGTGGTTTGGGAGGTTATTGTTAGAAAAGATCGGCAATGCCTGCAAACTTCTAGAACCAAAGCTTTGAAAGCCTGCACAACCTGCGTGCTTACTTTACTCGTATATAGTACGGGGAACCAACCTGCTGCTGTTGCCCTGATACAACGTCAGATGCCTATCAGGTATGGATACTCCAATCCAGCATGCGGGCTGCTCCTTCGCCATGTTCAATCGATGCAGCAACGGGCTCTTTGAGTGTGACGCAAATTGCTCCATTACCGTGCTTCCAGCCAGTTCCAGGCCACCAGCCATGGTGTTTATTTTAGCTATGTTACACCCGCAGAGGCTGCAGCTGAGAGGCGGCCACCTCAACCGGGCCCAGTCGTTGTCGATCCCGAATGTCGATCTGTTGATGACATGAGCCTCAGAGCCTGTTTCCAGGTTTTGCATCCGTACAGAGACGGGAAGTTCGCCTCTTCAGGGGACTGGATGTGCATCGCGTTCCTCTCTACGGATACCTTGACCGGAAATGCCGATGGGGATATGAGAGAGTGCTATGAGGTAAAGGGGAGGGGATGTTATCATGTTAACGATTAAGATGCGGAACGGTTAAGAAATTTCTGATGATGTGCTAATATCGGCATGCACGGTTTTACATAGAACAATTTCTGCAGTTGCATCGATTGCCACTTATCGGCCCCATTAGAAGCCCGCCGCCACGCTGCAGTCCCTTTAAGAGTTTTCGGACAGAATTTTCAGTTTGTTTGTCTGTTTGCTGCGTGTTTTCTTGTGCTGTGAGGGGTGATGCCAGTGAAGTGATTTTTTTTTTTTACTTCTTCCAAATGCGGTCAATGTGGGACAGGGAAGCTCCTAGTTGTGACAACTTCACTTCTGTGGCCCAACGAACGCTCCTAATACCTAGCCATGGTAGCATATAGAATGTTGACTTAATTGTTGGGCTTTGGGTGATTAAAAAGAGAGGTGGGGTGTGTGTTTTGATCGTGCTTACCTAGGTCTTGAGTTTTGCACGTACCCAGTGCCAGCGTGCCAGCCCTCTGGAGCTCCCAGCTACGACTCTGCAGCCCAGTGCCCAATGCGCCGACCTGGGACCAAACGCGCCTGCACGTGTAGCCCCAATTTAACCCCCGGTTCGGAGAGCCCCCAACCAACACATCGAAAGCCCACCTGGCCCCCCCCCCCCCCCCCCCCGGCCATGCCCAGCACTCCAGCGGCACCCTTCCAGCGCCAAAAGATAACGGCACCAGGCCCAGCGATTTCGTCTCGTTGCGATCCAACATCGCAAAAGGCGCCTGATCTGCCTCTCACAAGTGGGAATGAGGAGGTTACCTGGGCCCTTGTTGGCGACTTCCCCCTTCAAAGCGCGGCCGCCGAGAGTGCCTCAGGGCGCATCATCAGCATCATGGCCGCTGCGATTCCGACCTAGTACGACGGCCTGCCTGTCGACGGCGACAGCGACGACAACGACGCCGCCGTCGCAAGCAGATTCTTCCGAGCAGAAACCACCACAAACGCAACAACCCTTTCGCTTCGAGACCGGCATCTCCCTCTTCGCCAAGCGAGCGCCGCGACCTTTCCCGCCGCCCTTCCTCTCCCCTCCGTCGGGCTCCTTCTCCGATCCGCTCAGCACCCATCACCGAAGCCGCGACCGGCGCGCGAGAGTCGACGGTCAAATCATCCTCGGACAGACGAACGGAGATGATGCGGTATTCGCCAGCGAGAACTTCATTTGTGCGAATGACGGCGTCGGTGCTTGGTCAACACGCCCGAGGGGTCACGCTGGGTAGGTGCTTGTATTTCCCCTCCCTTGATCGGACGTCCCAATGTTGACTTTGAGAAAAACAAAACAGCCTTTGGTCTCGCTTGATCCTTCATTATTGGGCAACGGCTATTCAGAAAGATGTCACCAACCCTCGCTCCGAGGGAGATGTCTACAAGCCCGACCCGGTAGCATATCTCCAAACGGCGTATGAGCAGACCCTGAAGGCGACTTCGGACCCGAACGACTGGCAAGGCACCACGACGGCGAGCGGAGCGCTGCTGCACTACAAGACTCTACAAGGCAGCGAGAAGGTCCCCCAGGTCTATGTCACCAATCTCGGCGACTGTCAAGTCATGATTCTCCGGCCCAGGCATGGAAAGGTTGTCTACAAGACCAAGGAACAGTGGCATTGGTTCGACTGTCCGCGCCAGTTGGGCACGAATAGCCCCGACACCCCCAACACGGAAGCAGTCTTGGACGTTGTGGAGATACAAGTCGGGGACGTGGTTCTCGCCATGTCGGACGGCGTTATTGACAACTTGTGGGAGCATGAGATCGTCGACAGCATTCAGAAGAGCATAGAACGCTGGGAGAATGGGGAATGCGGGGGCGACAGAGTCGAGGGCGACCGGACGGGAGGCGCGAATGGAGGCATGAAGCTCGCTGCCGAGGAGTTGGTCGCAGCCGCGAAGAAAATCGCAACGGATCCATTCGCGGAAAGCCCCTTTATGGAACATGCCATTGAGGAAGGGCTGCCGAGCGTTGGAGGTGAGTTGTTGGCTTCGCCGGGCTGTGATGTTTACTGGGGCTAACGAGGAAACAGGCAAACTCGATGACATTAGCGTCGTCGCTGCGCTCGTGAGGAAACAGGATGCATGATATGGAAGGCGATACCACGAAACACGGCAATCATCGGAAATAGAATTTACGGAAAAGATCCCGCAGGGGCAGGCTGCAATTATTATTATGGCATACACCCTGTCCAAGTCGGGATGACAGAGGCCATCTTTTGGGGGGTACTTGGCGTTTGATTGGATTCGGTTTGGATTTTACAGGAACCTATGGATAGTGCGAAGTCTGCAGATAATTGAACGAATACATTACCCGAGTTCCGTGATTCCATGTGGGAAAACTTTTGCAATGTTCGTTGTCGCTGAAAATCAATGATACTTTTCCTCGAGTGACATTACCCACGGCCGTGGCCGGACGTGGTGGGGTTCGATCGGCTTTCATGGGCCCGACCTCTTATCTTATCGCAATTTTTCCAGCAAGAAATTTCGCGACTTTCAACACAGACATCTGCCTCCACCACCAATCTTTCTGCGTCAACCAGATCAACAACCTCTCGTTCGACGGCAAGGGTATCCCCTCGCCACTCAAAAATCCACGATGCGCGGAAAACGTAGCAAACAGTATCGCAAGCTGATGAACCAGTACCAATTGACATGGGGATTCCGCGAACCGTACCAATGCCTAGTCGACGCTGAAATGGTTGTCGACTGCCACAACTTCAGATACGACCTGCTCGCCGGACTGGAGCGCACACTGCACGGCAAGGTCAAGCCAAGTGAGTATTACATGCCATGATTAAGCATCAGGAGGAGTGCCTCGAAGCTGACGATTTGACACGCAGTGATTACACAATGCGAGATCCGCAAGCTGTACCTGCGCAAGAACGAGCCCGACATGAACAAAATCATCGACTTTGCAAAGACGCTCGAGCGAAGACGCTGCGGTCACTTGCCGGAGGACTACCCGGAGCCCCTGAGCACGATGGAGTGCATGAAGGCCGTCGTCGACCCCAAGAGCAACCTCGTCAACAAGCACCGCTACTGCGTCGCGAGCCAGTCGGGCGACGTGCGGCGCATGCTCCGCGAGATCCCCGGCGTCCCGCAAATCTACATTAAGCGATCGGTCATGATCCTCGAGCCCATGGCGACGGAGAGCGTGGCGATCAGGACCAAGGAGGAGAAGAGCAAGTTCCGCGACGGCCTCGTCAGGCCCGAGAGGAAGAGGAAGCGCGAGGACGAGGACGACGAGGAGGAGAATGGGAAAGAGGGCGGGGCTGCTGGGAAAGCCGGAGGTCAGGAGCAGCAGCAGAAGAAGGATAAGAAGAGGGGACGCAAGGGACCGAACCCGTTGGCGGTCAAGAAGGCGAAGAAGGCCACGAACAGCAACGCGGCACCAAAGGAAGCGCGGGGTGCGGCGGCCGATGGAGATGAGGGAGAGGGTGAAGGCCCGGCGAAGAAGAAGCGCAGAAGACGAGGCAAGGGCCAGGCCGCTGGTGATGCGGACTCGACGAGCGGGCCGGCAAACCAGGCACAGGGCGAGGCGTCGACTGAGCAAGCGGCGGAAAGCTCGTAGGGATTCGATATTGCATACCAAAAGGGCGTTTGGGTGGGGACTAAAATGATTGGAATGTAAGGTACAACAAAAGCTCTGAGATACCAATTAATGGGAAATTCTTGCCATAGCGAGATACGGGGAGGATCGTCGTGGAAATGTGTTTCTGAATCGTCTCATGAACTTATGGTCCTGGAATTGCCGGTACCTCAAGATTGGCCCCTTGATTTACTGTGGGATGATGAGAATCACACTTGAAGTTCTTGGTTTCTGCGGAATAGGGGTTCCGTGCTGTTTCCTCCCGGGGAATAGCCCACCTGAGGTGATGCGACAACAAGTCGACAACTTGCGCAGAAGGTATTCATGACAGGTTAATGGCGATTCAAATCGCAACCGGGGCTCCCATGATTCACAGGCCTCCCAATGTCGTCAGTTTTCTCCAACGAGTCCAGTGTGATCCCTTTTGGAGGGGCGGCAGGGCTGGTCGAAGGTCAGAGCTCTCGACCGCTGAAACGGTCACTGTCGTGGTGTGTTGGGCGGTGTGCCAATGTGCTCTCGATCTTAGCTGGAGGTGGCTGACAGCCAGCGAGCACAGTCCTTCAGTGACCACCTCCAGCTTACGGGCACTGACATTCTCCAATTCGCATGGCTGATTCGGGCCAGGTCCCCACATGAAATGGCTCTCGCGGCACTCTAGCGGATCGTCATTGGGGGGGGGGCCGGAGGGGGGGGCATTTGATGTTTGGCTGACTATCCCCTGATCATTAACCAAACTACTCCGTAAGTCAACCATCAAATTCGCCAACGACTTTCTCCATCATCCCTTTCAAGCCCGCGGGCCCCCTTCGTGAAAGAATACCCCCCGTCAGACTCAGACACAAGAAAACACGTGGACGCCCCTTCAAGTCTTTTCCTCCCCTGATCCATCAATTTGGCTTCCAGTTGGATGTAAGCGTGGCTGGAATACTCAAAGTTAGCACACATCTGAGCACTTTACGGAAACTGCGCGTTCGGCACGTCTGGAAAACATATCCCACAGTAATTCTAATCTCAGCCACTTTACGGAGTCTTTTAGTACGCTTTCGTTCCACTGCCTTAACGTATTGCGCGTCGTCCTACGGATACCTTCTCCAACTGGCGTAAGCCCGCGACCCATTCGTTTCCCAATACCCGAAACGAGAAAAAAAAAAAAAGGCTGCCACCCCTTGCCTTGACTTTCTACCTGAATCTTTTCTGGCACATTGAGACAGCTCGCATGCTTGTGTAAGAGGCAACACACGAGCATCTCATCATGGCGGGCTCAGACGAGTCTGCCACCACCACAACCACCACCACCAACAACCCCTCATCGACAACAGCCACCGCCGCCGCCGCTCCCGCTGCCGATTCGGAGGCAGCTGACCAGCTACCGAATGGCACTCGTGCACCAGATGCAACCGCAACTGCAACCGCGACTGCAACTGCACCTACGCTTACGCAAAAGCAAACTTCTGCTGCGGCCATGACGAGCGACATGCCCGAGGTGGACGACTTCGGCCTACCCATCAGACGATACGTGTCACCGCCGCCCGAGGAGACCGATCAGACGACCGACGCTCAATCTCAACCGAACGAATCCCAACCGAAGCCAGTCCACGATGGGCAGATTGCAGACGGAAGCAACGAGACAGCTCCTTCAACGGTGAAGAAGGAAGTGAACGGCAAAGACGGCGAGTCGGAAAGTGACGATGACGAATTCAAGGACGCTCAATCCGAGCAGCCGGCCACAGCCGTTGTCTCCGGGACGACCTCGAATACACCATCAACCCCTGTAACTTCAAATATGGACAAAGACGAGGCCAAGGACAAGATTGTGATAACTGGGACGGATGAAGAAAAGGCCAACGACCAGGATGTTACAGCAGTCGAAAAAGTCGAGCAAGAGCCCAAGGTCCAGGCCAAAGAGGTGGTCGTCGCCAAGACCAGTATGGAGAAACCATCAACAATAGAAGCTCCAACAACCACCAAGAACGAGAGCAAAGACAAGGGCGTTACAACAAACGGCGAAACCGGTCGCATCGAATCAAAGGAGTCACAAAGGACAACAGCAGAAGCCAAGCCCAGCGATCCCGAGCCGCAGCAGCCAGGATCACCTGCAAAGCTCGTCGACAAGGCAGACGAACCCGGGCCCAAGGTGGCAGAGCCTCCTTCTCCTAAAGCGCAGCACAAGAGGGACCAGAGCAATGCTAGCAACGTTGGCGTCTCGGAGTTCTCTCATCAACAACTGACGTCAGACAAAAAGGAGGACGATGACAATGATGACGGCGACTGGCAAACGATGCCCGCATTCGCCCCGTACGATATTTATGACGATGACAACAGACTTGTCGCAAAGGAGTTCAAGGAGGATGAAGTTGACGAAACCTACGGCTACGGTGGCCTCGGCGGTGCAGGAAAGGGATATACCCGCGTAATTATGGACGATGACGCCGAATCAGCAACGAGCATGGACGACAATACCCAATACCTCTTCAAAGAAGTGAATGGCACGAGTATCGGCGAAGACGATAGCGAGGCCCGTGATGCCGTCTCTCAGATGCAGGCGACTAAGGACCTGCTGACGGAAGGGCAGAGGATTGCCTACGTGGGGTTGACGAGACTAGAGGTTCACAATATGGTCAAGGAGGCCGAGAGCGTCGAACACACAAGGAGCGCAAAGAAGGACGTCACAATGTCGGCCGAAGCAACCAAGATGTGGGGTCAGAAGATGATGGTCCGTCTCTACACTCACATGGACATCAGCTCTGCCGAGCAAATCATGGTTGAACAACTCAGCGACCACGGCGTGGTGCCGTCGGACTTGACTCCGATATTGATGGCCAACGCCCGTGTCAAGAACCCCATGGCCGACGACGAAGACGAAACGCGCAGCTGTCTCTCCGTCACATCGCCGAGAGAATCCCGTAGCTCGCTTTCCGTAACCTCGCCGAGGAGTATGGGCCCCCCTTCACCCGCACTGTCCCAAAATGAGAAAGCAGCCGAGGCGCCACCGCCATACGAAGCGCACGAAGGAGAGGAGCTGCCCCCCGTCAAGACCCCGGCTCAAATGGTCACTTCTGACAAAATCGACATTGACCTGCGTTGGACGGTGCTCTGCGACTTGTTCCTTCTTTTGATTGCCGATTCGGTGTATGATTGCAGATCAAGAATTCTCTTGGAACGGGTCGGTAAGAGTCTTCAAATCGACTGGTTGGATGTCAGAAAGTTTGAGAAGAAGGTGACGGACGCGCTGGAGATGCAGCAGGCCGCAGAGCAGGAGAATTGGAACGAGGATGAGCATATGGAGCACCGAAGAAAACAAGCTCTCAAGAAGCGCTACATGATGATGGGGTTGGCTACCGTGGGTGGTGGTCTGGTCATTGGCCTCTCGGCGGGTCTCCTCGCTCCCGTCATTGGTGCTGGATTGGCTGCTGGCTTCACAACCATTGGAGTCACGGGCACTTCTACCTTTCTCGGAGGAGTCGGCGGAGCTGCCATCATTACTTCCAGTGCCGCGGCATCCGGTAGCGTTATCGGTGGCCGAGCGGCAAACAGGAGGACGGGAGCCGTCAAGACGTTCGAGTACCGGCCGCTGCACAATAACAAGCGAGTGCATCTCGTCGTTACGGTGGCCGGATGGATGACGGGTAAGGTGGATGACGTCCGTTTGCCATTCAGTACCGTGGATCCTATCATGGGCGACTTGTACTCCGTCTACTGGGAACCGGAGATGTTGAGGAGTATGGGTGACACCATCAACATCCTCGCTACAGAGGTTTGTCGCAGCCCCTTTAGATCCGTATATCAACTCCCACTAATATTTCCCAGGCCCTGACGCAAGGTCTCCAACAAGTCCTGGCAAGCACAATCTTGACCAGTTTGATGGCTGCCCTATCATTACCCGTCGTCTTGACGAAGCTGGCGTACCTGATTGACAACCCTTGGAGTGTATCGCAAGACAGGGCCTGGTCTGCAGGTCTCATTCTGGCGGACTCTTTAATCGACAGAAACCTGGGAACGCGCCCAATCACACTTGTTGGATATTCACTTGGTTCAAGAGTCATCTTCTCCTGCTTATTGGAGCTGGCGAGAAAGGGGGCTTATGGCCTGGTTCAGAACGTCTACCTGTTCGGCTCCCCCTTGATCATCAAGAAGGATGAATACCTCAGAGCCCGCACTGTTGTTCCAGGAAGGTTTGTCAACGGATACAGCAGCAATGACTGGATCCTCGCCTACCTATTCCGTCTGACTGGCGGTGGCCCTCGCAAGGTGGCTGGTCTGGCCCCTATTGAGGATCTACCATGGATCGAGAACTTTGATGTCACAGAATTTGTCAAGGGTCACATGGAGTACCGTAAGGCTATGCCGCGTCTCCTCCGAGAGTGCGGATGGCTCGTGGAGAGCGACGAATTCACCGAAATCGAAGACGCCGACCCCGATAATCACCAAGAGCGTCAGCGAGAGCTCATCAACGAGATTGAGGAAGCTCGCAAGGAGCTCGAGAGGGAGGGGCAGAAGAAGAAGAGTCGATTTTCCATCTTTGGACGAGGGAAGAAGGCAGACAAGGAAAAGTGGGAGATTTACGAAGACTCGGCAAAGGATGGAAGTAAGCCGAACCCGAGGACGGAAGATACGGAGGGTAACAACCACGGTGTACTGTTTGACGTGGAGGCGATCCGAGCCGAAGTCGCAAAGACCGCAACAACACAGGAGGAGCCCGAAGAGTTCCAAGTAAAGGAGCTCAAGTCTACACTTCCCCCCATGAGGCTCGACCTCAGCTCGTCAAACGGATCGCTCAACCCGCGAGACAGCCTGCGCGAGACGAAGAGCGCGTACGCGGTGCCGGGACGGGCCTCGTACGAGACGACGGGGTCCTACTCGTACACGCCCGAGAGGACGCCGACTTTCCAGGGAAGTCAGACGTTCCCGCCCACACAGAGGTCCGTGTCGCCGTACCACGCGGCGCCGTCCCCGCTCGAGGAGGAGGTGGAGATGACGTTTGACACTTCCTTTCACGATCCGCCGCCCGCGCCGCGCCCGCCGCCGAAAGACGACCCTGTCTCTTCTCCTCCCCCACCGCCGCCGTCACGGCCGGAGATGAAGTCGGCGCAAACGGTGCCTAATATGGGGGCGTCGAACCCCTGGGCGGACGTTGATGACGATGATGATTTTGGCAAAGAGAAGGAGATTGAGATGACTTTTGCATAATGTCGGCCGAAATCCAGATGAATGGAAAGCATGGGGCATGGCTTTTGGTGGCGTATGATTAATTTTTTGCAAGCGAAGTGGAACTTGCTTCGTACGAAAGTGGTGCAGTGGTCTCTATCACTCTCCCTCTCCCCCTCCCTCCCTGCTTGAGCAAGAGGTTTGCTTTTCCCCAGATTTGGGGGTTCACCTTTGAAAAAGCCGTGGTTACAGCTCACATGACAACAAAGCACGCTGTATTTGTTACACGACTGGGGCAGGAGATGGTGCTTGTTGGGTTTTCTTGGGTAGCGATTTTGGAAGGGGTTTTATTTTACGACTACTATAAAGCCCCCGTAGACCGTTCGAGTATATAATTTCCACCGTCTGCGAGGACGGTTGCAAAGTAATACAGGCAAAGAGAGGAAAATCACAATCTCTTTTCAATCTCAAGTCCTCTTGTGTTTACGTGATTGATGTTGATGATTGAGAAGAACAAGAAAATTAAATAAAATAAAAAAGGTGATACTTGGATGTTTGGCCTTGGCTGTGAACTGAAGCAGGGAAGCGGATCGTGGAAACGTCTTCCGTCTTCGGGACTTGGAAGATGAATCGTCCTATACCCGGAAGTCCTGCGAATCACAAAACTCGTCTCTTTGTTGGACTGTTGGTCCAGTCTCTCTGGATGGCCTCTCATAGTCATCCATGTATCAACCTGTATCACATGGGGTCTGTTGACAGGTGCTGTGCAAGCTGCAGGGGAAAACGGGCGCCAGAGTGACGGATACGGAATACAGAAGTGACCAAAATCACAGAGACTTTGGGCTACCGACCAACAGCTACCCATGCGCATCTCAACTCTTCCCCTGATGGTATTCTCAATCACAGTATCCGTGGTAATTAGCTCATCGACTCAGGCGCCCTGTCTCGTTCCCAATACAGGGGCACTCATATGCAAACATGGCGCCGACGAAACCAACAATGTGCAAAAAAAAAAAGGCCTTGACCAGGCGAGACGCTCGCTCGGGAAGTGGGCTATCGGTTTCTTTTTTTTCTTCTTCTTTTTTTGGTATTTTCTCACGACGCGCCCGTTGGAACTTGGGATTTTTTTTGTGTGTGGGCATGTTTCGGTGTCGTTGGATGTTGGCTTACATGCGCCGCTGGCATACGCGCACGCACGGGGGGAGCTTCGGGGACAGACAGGGGTGCATGGGGGGCTCGTTGAGCTGTTCGGCAGGCAGCAGAGAAGAGGGTGTGGACAATGCGACGTAGCGGGTGGGGGGGGATTCGGGAAGCCTTGGAGGGGAATTGGACTTTTGGGACATGGGATGGCATGGAGAGGAGAGTTTGGGGTGTCATCTCTCCATTTTGAGGTGCTGCTCACGAACTTTCGTTACAGACGAAGCGTACACTCGAAACCGGATGACATTTCTCGTTTGGAAATGGGATGGATCTTGACCACCAAACAGGCATCTCAACTAAGCCTCGGGGCTTGATTCTTGACAACAAAAGACCGTGCGGGGGATCGAAGTCAGACCGTCAGAGTGCGGATAGGAGAACGAGAGCTTGAAGAGGAAGCTGACATTATTGTAATGCAAAGGCCCAACGGCATACGTAGTCCCTTGTCACCACCCGCCGGTATGAGAGTGACGAGAGCCTGACCACGGCCATGGAGCAGAATAAATAAGAGACTGCCAATTGGGGACCCCGGCCGCGGGAGAAGGATTTGGTGTCGAGGATTGGAGGTGGTGCATCGCCCCGGTGAGCTTCCAAGACCTAATGCGCGTTGGGCAAAGCTCACATCAGCCGCAGCGAGACTAGCAGCGCAGCGTACGGTAGCGCTAGACCGTTAGGTTGGCGGGTTTCCATCAAACGGTAAGGGTCGTTGTCCGTCTTGTCCGTCTTTGGGTGGTGGGATGAGAGACGTTGTTGGTCTGCATGTCTGCAGGGGGGCGGCGGCGGCGGCGCCTCTTGTTTTTCGTTTCAATTAATAGCAACAGCACAAAGCCAACAGCTACGAAGTACTCCGTACTGTTGCCTGTGCCGCGTTCCATTGGATGGTGCTTATTTGCTGACCGGTGGGGCTGGGGCTGGGTTTTGGGTGGCTCCCCAAGGTTTAGCGTTGGAAGCGTGGCCCGCTTTTCTCCAGCCTTACCACGCACGACCTCTTTCTCTGTCTCTCATTCTCTCATTCTCTCCGTCTTTTCGTCTCCCGTCCTCTTCTCTTGCACTGATTACCTCGAATCTGGGAGATCTCAATCGCCATGTTGAGTAGAGACAGAAGGTAGTAAAACGATGCACCAATGTGACCGTTGCAAGTTGTCCAACAGCAGTCTGTGCTGTCCCTCTCCGTCTTGTGTTCTGGGGATGGCGTCACCACCATCGAGACAGGTTGGTGGCGGAGCAGACTGATGATTGCACTCAGCACTTGTTGTTGCTGCAGTGTAACAGCTCACTACTCCAATGTGCCGATCCTGGGAATTCATTGTGAGTGGGGTTCCCAATCGATACCGATACGGTAGGTAGGCTGATCTTCCCAAGGGAGAGAAGGGAGGTGAGAGATGAATGAGACGTTGGGCGGTTCTTTGGGATTCCCAACCCTGCGTCGAGGACTCGAGGTGCTTGTTGGACATACCCACCTGGTTGGAAGGCACTTTCAAGATACTGTCAAGACTTCCTCCGTATCATAGCACTCCGTATATTCTTTCCAACGAGGTCTGTGTTGGAAGACGAGGAAAGAACCATTGCACCTCATGGCCGTCTTCGTCTATGCTACTTACCTGCACTATGTAGACAGACTCGCTAAGACCAAACACTCGAACCTCAGCCTCAGCCAGCAACAAAGCTGCCTCGCGAGGGAATCTACAGCGCCTCACTTCAAATATCCAAGCATAGCAAGCAGCCCAACCATCAAAAAACGGACAGGCAACGAACGGCAGGTATTCATATTGTCAGTATGACCTTCGACCAGCCGCGGATCCTTCCTCCCTCATTTCTTTGAGCGGCGCTGTCTTGGCGCGTGGCTTATTGTAGTTGGCGTAGTGCAGATCCATCCCCCGAATCCCTGCATCTGCACCGGGAGACGACTATGTACTACCTAGACTGCAAAGGCGAAGGAACCGAAGCGAAGAAGCGAGAGAAAACTCGCGAACCCTGACAATAGACCAAAGCCGGACGTCCAACAACGCTTTCCTCTCGGTAACGCGCGCGCGCAAAAGCCCAAGCCCCTTCTTCTTGACCCTTCCCCCCCGGTCAGCAGCAGCAGCAAACCGGCCGGGACCTGACCAACGAAAGAAAGGTGCTCGTCTCGTTAATCCTGGTCATCCCCAAGGTTTGCTGTGCGTCGGCTCTGTCTGTCACTGTCCTACCAACTTGTCTCGTTTCTTCTCCCGTCTTACACGCCCACACGCCTTGGTGGCTTTCTTCTCGCTGGCTTTCCCACCTCTCTCAGCCTGGTCTCTCACTTTCTCCATTCCTGCTTACTTCGTTTCTCGAATTCTGTTCGCTTCTTACTTCACTTCATTTCATTTCGACATTTTGTGAGGCGACGGGATATTTACCTCGACGAGAAGGGTACTTAAGGAATCACAATCTGAGAGAAGTTTTGGACATTTTGGTCGACTCTGCAGAGAGAGTGGGCAGAAATCGACTCGAGGATAGTATACGATTAGGCACAGCCGACACCGACGGACTCGAGCAACACAATTACCGTTACAGACGCCACACGCACAGCATAGATATTATCGAGACGATCGAGAGACATCACGACATGTCATATCCAGCGCCTGTTCAGCTTAGCCGCGGTGACACCCACGAGAAGGTGCGCATTGTCATGAACAATGGCGGCGAAAACGGCAACGTCGCCTTCGAGGGCGAGGCTTCGGGTGGTATTGACTTCACTTCCAACTTTGGTGATTCGACAAGGTCAACCCCAAGCCCAGATCAGTGGATCACATTCGATAACAGTACCCTCACTCCACACCAGCAATACGTCCTCATCGTGTCAGAAAGTTCATCTCATGCCATCAAGTGGGAGCTTGCCAGCGGAGTTGAGCTCAGCAAGGCTCTTTGGATGGCAAAATGGAAGGACGGAATTACAATGATTTCGGAGGCGCCCAGCCAAGACGACCGCGGGGTGGAATCTTCAAAGCCTGGAGCAACATCAACAGCGGCAGCCCCCGGTGTCACACCCCCGGTGAAGCGTCAAGAATCTATTCCTATCACAAGTGAGTAACCTCCGCATTCAATTTCGGGAAGAAACATCCCAATCCCCCTGGCTTTGGTCTCGACTCCATCACAGCCAGCCACTAATAACTCATAAATAGTGGGTTTCACTGACAGTAGTCTCACCCTGCCTCTCGCCGATACCAAGTTTTCGGAAAAATACCTAAACGCTACCATGTACATTGAGCTTCAGTGGACATCGCCAGAGGGACCCGGCACGACGAAGACTGGTTTGTTTACCGTCACAAATGCAGCCTTTGGGACCGGACCCTACTGGGATGTAGTCGGCACACTCAGCGTGTCACGGAACAACAACGAGGCGATTTCAGGAAACGAAGAACTAACCAGCTCGACATCAACATCGTCAACGTCTGCCACCACCCAGGCAACAGCCACCCCTGCGACCTCTCTCGACCCGAATGCGTCACAATCAGCCATCGGCGGCGCTCCCAGCAGCAGCGGCAGCAGCGGTGGCAGTAGTGGAGGCCTTGCGCCTGGTGCCATCGCCGGCATCGTCATCGGCAGTGTTCTCGGGCTCGCCTTCATCGCGTTCCTGATATGGTTCTGCCTCCGCCGTCGTCGCCGCCGCGCTGACCATGTCTCGGACGGCGCATACGGCCCCGGCCACAACCCCCACGAGTACCTCGCCGACAAGGAGACTCACGCCCGGGTGACCGAGTCACCGCACTCGCCCTACACGGACGACGGACAGCACCAGCACTCCCAGCATCACCTCCAGCAGCAGACGCAACCCCAAGAACAGCATCACCTCTCGCGGGAACTGCATCAGGACGATCACAACGACGCCCTTGAGACCGCCGCCGCTGCCGCAGTACCTGCCTCGGCCATCAGCGCCACGGAAAACCACCAGCCTCCCTTTGCGCCATACAGCGAGGAGCACGCATCCATTGCCTCACGGTCGGTCGAGGACATGACCCGCAGCGGCGCCGGCGGTCCGCGCTCGTCGACGCCCAACGTCAACTCCAACGTTTCGCATCTGATTGAGGACGGCATGACGGAGGACGAGATCCGAAGGCTAGAGGAGGAGGAGATGGCGTTGGATGCGGCCATTGAGCAAGCCGGACCGCGTAGGAAGCCGTAGAGTGACTGGGGGGTTGGAACTCAGTGTCGTCAATACTTTTTTGTTTTCTATACTCGGCAATATATATCCAAATGTGCGTTGCCATTTCTTGTTGCATACTATTTCGGTTGAATAATACGAATTTGGGCCTTTTGGGCTTTGTGAGATTGCTAGGCCTGTTTTTTACTTCCATGGTTCGATCGTTCTGGCGAATGACTGCAAGATGACTTGTCAACCACTATTGCCACGCTCAGAGAGAGAAGAAGGGGTGGGGGGCCGAGTAGAGGCACTCGGTGTGGTTGTCGTTGCGATGTAGTTCTTGTGACAAAGTCCCTATCACAATTTTGTCAGAGAGTGTCTTTTCATCTTGCTGTCTTGAGGTAAGATTGAAGGTAAAGGCACACCTTCTCATCGCCGCTAAAAAGAAAAGAAAGAGACTAAAGATTGTTATCTTGTGGCATCATTGACACAAACTTGATGCTGTCACGTCAACAATTCCCGAGGCCATCATCTTCGCCTCTAGCTTCTTGCCCTCCCTCGGGGACTCTGGATGATAGAGTATGCTCTAACATCAACACCCATCTCATCACTTCGTAATGTTGCAAAAAGTAAAGCACTCTTTCTATGTAATTGTCTTTGCATTGTTGGTCGTGTTACTAACTAAGTACAGCTTGATAATCTCAAAATCTTCTTCTGTGGTTTTTTTTCTTTTAATGGGTGGAACAGGGCAAGCCAATCCTATATGACGACTTTTGAAAGCTATCAACCCTCCCGAAAGAGTCAAGAGCATGATCCAACTGAGTGCTGAATCCCAAACTCAACGAAGCGTTGCCCAAAGTCGTGTAGGCACAAGGTAAAAACCACCATCCAATTGGAGTTGATGCTTCTCCAAATAACAGTATTCCCAAACCAATTCTCTGCAAGCTTTGCTGTGGTAAAAAGCCACTCGGTTGCGTCCGAATGTGTCGGAAAGAGATCCTGTTGAGTGGCGATAGAGCCTTGCGTAGTGACGATGAATGGTCAAATGCCCTTTCTCTCATGTTCCGTAGCGAATCGCCTTGTTGCGAAAAGCTGGAAGAAAGGCAAACGAAGAAAAGTGAGATAAAAGCAAGAAAAGGGTGGTGGAATTAGCGGCGTTTGTCGAAAAGGGATAATGGCGTAAGGGGAAGTAACCGGCAAGAGAAAGATGCGTAAAAAGACAAGCGAAACAAAAGTTGGAGTATTCCACAGCAAGATTCTGCAATTCCGTTTGCAGGCAGAATGTTAGGTCGACAATATCGTTCCGTCGTCGCGTAGTCGCGATGCCGTCGTTAGCTGTGTTGCTGGGCGACGAGCTCGCAAACGATCCTCGATCGTGAGAGTTCAGACATGATGAAAGAATCAGTAAAAATAAGGTGGAAGCTGCTCTTGGCGACAAGTAGCTGCAAAAGAAGTCGGGCTCAGTACGCCATAGGAATATAGTCGTCGCAGCCGGGGATGAGCAGAGTGTGGACATCGCTGTCGGACATATCATCCGGAATCTCCATGACAATACCGATAGGAGGAAGCTTGGGCTCTTGAAGCGCGTCGCTGCTCGTAGTTGAGGACTCGAACGGGATTCCAGCATCGCGCGAAGCACCGTGCCCGGTTATTGTGTCTTGCTCCGTCATATGACCAGAGAAATTGTAGGAAGAGCGAGTGTTCAGGTTCTCATGGGTGTCAGAAGTACCAAAATTGAAGCCATGCCGCTTCTCTTTCGGTGAAGATGATTGGAAGCCCTGGTAATGTTGCTGATGAGCAGAAGCAGAGTTGCAATTGCTGTTGAAGAAGCCGTTCTCTTCCTTATATAGTCCACGGTCGTTTGACCGATATGAATTAAAGCCAAATCCTCCGAAGGAACCGTAGTCATCAGGATAGCCGCTTGAGGAATCAAAGTGATTACCTGCGCCGTCTGCATCGTAATCCATATTGGGGTACTGATCATGTGTATACCAGAAGGAACCGGCTTGTTTAGCAGATGGGCCGTGGTTCCGCTCAGTGCGACGAGCATCACGGCGGGATGTCCAGTCTTTGGCGTGATGGTTCTCGGGATTGTGGTGGCCATCAAAGTAGTCATGCTGTGAATTCCAGCCCGATGGGGCGATGGGACTGAACGGACATGGCTGGTTGTCACTGGAGACCTCGGTGGAGTTTGGTCTGAATCTGGCAGCAAAATCTTCCCATCCTGCCGCGCCTTCGTTGCCCCAAGAGTTGAAGCTATGGTCGTCGATGCTGCATAGGGGCACGTAGAGCCGTCCTGCAGTCCTGCCATCAGGATCTCTCAGTGGATCCTTGAGAGGAACGGCCTTGTTTCCATCGCGGAGATCATCCTGGTATTGTTCGTACTGGAATTGAGCATATGGTTTGTCACCCTCGGGATGCTCTCGCTGCCAGAAAGTCGGAGAAGTGCGGACCTCGACCCGTTCACTGAATCTGGCTCGCTTTGAATGTGAACAGGTTTCCGAGTCTAGAGACGGATCGGGGTCAAGACAATCATCGCTGGTCGTAACCTGCGCTGTCGTTTGAATCGGGGTGGCAGGTGCGGCTTTGACAGATGTGGGCCGGGTTGAGGCTCGTGGGCTGCAAGAGTTGGCAGGTTCGTCGTCTTCGGATCGTAGATTAGCTTCATTATCTGGAACATCTTCGACCGAAGGGGCTTGATGGCTGATGCTAGCCCTAAGGGCAGACTTTGTGTGATCCTCATTATGGCTTGTCGTAGAGCGTTGGGACTTGGGACGGACTTCCTCCTGAGGTACCACATTGCTTGCCCGAGCAGAACGGCGCTTTCTCAGTCGCTTTCGAACAGATTCCGATGGAGAAAGCTCGTCTGATTCGTTTCCAGCTTCGTAGCGCTCATTGGAGTCGTCGGTAATATCGTTCTTCGGCTTTCCCGTCTCGTGCTGGAACGACATGCGAAAATGACCGGCGTGTTTTGGGCTCTGCCCATCATGTTGCTCTTCGCCAAACTCGAGCGGTTCTGATTCCGTGCGACTTTCATCGGAGGACTGGGTATCATTAGTGTCTAGGGCTGTCAAGTGAAGCAAATGGTAACACCTACGATACCGAGCAAAGTCTCTGTTGGAATGACCGCCTTCTTGGACAGACGTTTCATGCAATGAGCACAAAAGTTCTTGATCAGTTTTTTGCTGGGCTTGATGGGATTTTCCTTATTGAAGTGAGACGAGCGGGCAAATCCACAGCCAAAGCAAAAGTTCCCATATGCCATCACCGTCTTTCCATCGCCACTGGTGAGATGCTTCTCGTGGCAAGGCTTACAGAAGTTGCGCCAGGCCGGGTCTCCATCTCGGAACTTACGGATCTTGTGTTGCTCGTCAGATCGGCGAATGCCACAGCCCAAGCAATAAAAACCATCGGTGTTGTCGTCAATATGAACTGCAATCTCGGACGCCTAGTCGCAAGATGTTTCGTTTCTGCCGCGCTTGGTGTCCCGTCTGGTATCCTGGCGATGATGATGCGACGCATGTTTTCCACGGCACGATCTTTCGTGGGTGACTACAGTCATGGTGCTATCCGAGGTCTCCGTCTCAAAATCTTGCCGGAGTACTGCAGGCTGTGCAAGAGAAGTCACTTCCTCCTGATAACCCGATTGCGATTCAGGAGTGAGCTGAAACCGGCTCTGGCTGAAAGCTGCCGACGCGCTCTCATACACGGAGGATGTGACAATCCCATCTCCTGACGAATCACAGCAGACAGATTGGCAGCGTTGTGAGGCCGAACAGACATCATAGTAGGTCGACTCGGACTGCGAAATCCCCTTGGAACGGCCAGAAGCGCGGCTGGACTTGATACGTCTTCGAGGAGGTGCTCCGACAGGGCGTATTTGGCGCTCGTACTGATCATCCAACGGCTGGTGGCGAGTCAGACGAGGGGTGTCGTTGCGTGCCGCTGCTTATAAACGTCAGTGTCACAGTGTTTTCGAATCAAATTATGGATGGAAATCTCGTACGGCGATACCAAGAGGAGTCTGTTCCTCCTCCCTTCGGAGCAAGAGGCCTCTCCTTGGGTGCCATGCTCGTAGAATTTCCCGTGGCTTCCAGTAGTGTCCGCAATATCCTGGGATGGGGCGTCTGTAAGCAAGTTGTAGGAAGTTGAGGTTTTCAAAGGAAAGCAATGGGTGCCACAGAAGGAGAAGTGTAGCGGAGGTGAGGAAGGTGCAACACCATGAAAACAACGCTAAGGGAGCTTCTTCCCCAGGACAAAAGTTTCAAGCACCACTCACGGAAGGAATCGAATTCAGGCCACAAGGCTTAGAGGAAAAGTGAAAGGTACGTACTCATCTGTCTTGCCGTGTATTCTCAGTACTACCTAGGTAACCTCTCCTGAGCACTGGAGTTTTCCTTCTACTTAGCATTTGTTACTATGAGAGTATCCCGACGTCGGCTCAAAGCTAGAGGTGAAGCCAGGGATGCTCGAAGATAATTTTGAGGCCTTCTTCACGCGCAGTGAAATACACACAAGAGGCTTGCTGGCTCAGCGGTGGCAACAAAAAAGGGGTTAACGAAGGAAATGGTAGTATTTTGGAGATCTCTAGCTTTGTAATCACCTGACTGGATGTATTAGAAATCTGCAGATCACGAGAGTTCCTCTTGAGGTAAGATGGCATATGCTCACATCGTACCTGCCTCACCTGCCCTAATTACTCAGAGTCCGGGCAACGTCAGCTCTAGGATTCAGAGATGCCTCAGTCGGTCGTTAGTTCTCTCAGGAACACATTGACAGTCATGGTAGCCTGCAAGAGTGCCAAATGAATCATGATCAAGTAGTGTACATTCGCCTAAGCGTGCTTTTTGTGTCTACATGTGGAATCTAGATCCACCTATCCCTGTCCCAATACAATGAAATTGAGAGGCACTCCCAAGGCAACATCCTCGGAGTGGCTTGTCACCCCCTTTACTTAGTCAACTCTGAGGACTCTAGGGCCGCGCTTCTTGATGGCCTTCTTCTTCTTCTGGCCTCTCTCGAAGGCTGCAGCGGCCTGGTGGTCACGGCCAACGTTATCAAGATCCTTGACCTTGTAGATGCGAATGATCCAGTTCTCACTGGTGAAAGCCTCCTCAACGGTGTCAAGCTTGGGGCCAACATCCGGGAGACGAACGCCACGGACGCGGTCCTGGGCCTGACCAGCGGGGAACAGCGAGTTGTAGTTATAGTAAGACATCTTATACCTACGAAATTGTTAGCAGGATCTCAAACTCAAGGATGATCTGTTACTTACATCAAGCTGTTCTTCATGGTGTCGGTCGCTTGATCGTCGACTCTGTACTCTCCACGGGGAGTGAAGAACTTGCGCTCCTGGACCTCTTCAGGCCAGATACCTTCAGCAATGCGGACCATCCACAAGAACTTGTTGATGTCGTCACCGGAGTATCCCAGCAGACCACCAAACACCACCAGGACGTAGTCAACTTCGTGCTGGCGCATGATGGGGTAGCTGACTTCCTCACGAGAGCTCATCGCCTTGCCAACAGTGGCAATGTGAGTGTTGTTCCATGTGTTGTTGTCGACGAGAGTGGGACGGTCAGCCATGCCACCAATCTGGTAGCCGTAGTCCCACCAAGACATGATCTTGGCGTCCTCCTTGGTGTTCTGACGCAGCCACTGGTAAGCCTCGCGATAATCATCAATAATGTGCTGGCTTCCATCGGGCAGTCGACTCGCAAGGACGACAGAGGGCGAAGAGTAGGCATTCGAGGTGACCCAGGTGCAGTGAAGCACGAAGAGGAGCAAGAAGATGGACATGCCACCAACAACGACGGCCTTGGAAAGGAAGGTGTAGATACCAACGACCGGCTTGCTGGTCGACTTAAGTCCACTCTGCTTGGCCGCCTTCTTGGGGGCTCCCTCGACGGCCTCATCGGTCTTGAAGTCCTCAGGGTTGGGGGACTTAGCGACCATGTAAGTGTCGAGGATTTGAGATGCCGCCATAGCCGCAGCAACGCACACGATAGGAGTGAGAGTGAGCATCAAACGCACCATGACACCAGCGAAGTAGGTGCCAAAGAGGGCGTAAACAACGACGAAAACGTGCTCATCCCGGAGGTTCTGGAAGCAAAGGTAGACTCCAGCGGGGAAGAGCCAGACAAGCATGTTGAGGTCGAAGAAGAAAGCAGGCCAGGCGGTAGGCTGGTGCTCAGAGACTGATGCAATGATGGGAATATGGATCTTGGCGTAGCCGGTATCCCAGAGAGAGTAGAAACGACCACCCCAGGGGGCGATGTATCCGAACGATGTCAGGGCCACCAAGCCAGCGAGAGCAAGACCGAATGTCGCAGCCAAGAAGGTGTAGACGAAGGTCTGGAACTGGCGACTGGGAATAGCTCCTCTAACATAGTCGATGAAGGCAACGAGCTGCAGGAAGCCAAAGACACCTAGCGCGTGTTAGTTCATACCAATACAAAGCTCTCACGTCTTCACTCACCGAGAGCGGGCATGTGCTCGCTGGTCTTGACAGGCAGGAAGCCGACGAAGGGAATCTGCATGCTAGCCAATGTACCCAGAGCGTACCAAGTGGTGTAGCTGACGTAGAGACGGGCACTGTATCTACCCATGAGGATCAAGGTCAAAGCATGCAGAGGAAGCATGTTGGTGATGAAGGCATAGCCACCCCATGAGGCGACCATGTAACCGTAGAAGAGGGCGCAAAGAGCACCCCAGAGCATGGAGCCTAGCTTCAATGCCTTGATCCACAAGTAAAAGGTGAAGACAAGAAGGAAAATGGCGATGGCCTCGTTGTCGTAACTGCCGGCAACTGATCGGGAGATGTAACCAGGGGAGATACCCATGAAGACGGCCGCAAGCAGACCAGCTGAGGGCGAAGTGGTCATCTCATTGGTAAGGAGGTAGGCGGCATATGCGGTAAGGCCGGAGAAAGCTGGCGCCAGAAGAACGCAGATGTTGCGGATATCGACGGGAACCGTAAGAGCTCGAAGTGCGTGGTAGATGGCGCCGCTGGTCACCATGAGACCAGGGTAAAGTGTTCCTCCAGTAACCCGACCGAGAGGATGCCATGTCCGATCATCGAACCAGTCCCAGAACTTGGTGAATCCGTTGGCCACAAGGTACTTGGTTGCTCTGAAGTTGAACCAGGGGTCGACTGGTAGATTATTAGTTTCGGGTAAGGAGGAAAGGACGTAGAATGGGAAGAGACCAACATTCGTGAATGATACTTTCGAAGCCTGTACAAGTTGGATTAGCATGCTTTCTTTGCGGTGAGGAGGATCGCGATGAACGCCTTCCGATCCAACCATCAATTGGTGCTGGTGATGGTAGGAAGGAGACCCTTAGCAACGTGTCGAGGGGCACTTACGAATGACAGAGAAAAGACGACTAGCGACAGCGGCAGCTGCGATCAGAGACAAGATGGTGACTCTGAGGACAGTTCGTGTGTTCTCTTTGCTGCCTCCGGAGAGGGGTCCAAGAGATTGGGCCGTCATTGTGGCCGCGTTTGGTGTAGAAAGGCAGTGGCCGTGTAGGTTGAAGGTTGCGAAATGGAGCTGGCGACGACGACCTTCTGTCTCACAGCAAGGTATCCGAGAAGGACAGCTTGGAGCTTATGCACCTGAATCGGTGGTGCAGGGGCAGCGTGCACGGTCCATGGAGAGCCGACCTGTTCAGTGGTGTGTCCCGTTGACAGCAGCCAAGTCGTGGCTTCCGCGTAAGTCTGGAAAAGGTGGAGTCACGTGCATCGGACAAAGATTGTCCCGGGCTAAGGGATCCCGTTCCGCCCGGGGTGGCCGGGCCAGTGCCGGGTCCCGGCCTTGAGTAAGGCAGATACAGATTGCTTGTCTGATTCGTACAGTGAGAGACTCAGCATGTGTCATGGGCAATGATTGCACTTGGCCCATCTTCGCAGCTTCGACGTATTCCGTGTAGGTCTAAAGTTGATCAATGGTCATCCTGCCCCGGGAGAGATGATTGCACATCAGACGAGCCATCCGACCTGTGTCAGCAGCGAAAGTCTCCAACTGGCTGCCCGCCCTCTATTACCTTCTAAGATGAGAGGAAGCCGCGGAATCTTGATGGTTAGGACTGTTTCGGCCATCGTGCAGCTACAACTACCGTGGACCAGTCTCCCAGAATCAATTGCGGCACTGTCAGGGAATGCAGCATTCAACTGCATTGCAGACCACATTGGAACCATGTGTTAATTATCAAGGCTTGTAGATCCCGCTCAGGTTCGCAGAGTGGGGAGGTGATGCGCAAGAAAATAAGTAATTGATGGAATCCAATGGCTCGTTCCTTGGAATTGTCATCTAGTTGAGCATATTGTACACATGTACATCCGGTAAACAGACGTAAGGAAATGTCTATGCGGTGACATCGGTCGTGGTGCCTACCATGCACCTACTGCTGCCGAAAGACCAGATTATTCGTCCCTTGTTAAGACTCTTCGTGTTCTCCGCGAGCAGGCGTATCCCCAATCCTGACCCTGTCTATCCGTTGTGCAAGCCGTCCCCTCCCCCACTCGTTATCCAGTCTACGGGTTCTGCTTCACCAGGTTGTTGAAGTAGGCCTCAAGGTCAAACTTGGGGTCCATTGGGTCGACGTTGGCTGTGGCTGATGTCAGTCTTCATGTGATCTACGGGAGCCGCCGACAAGGGCGAGAAGTGACGGGCGTGAATCGCGACGTCCAAAAATCCGCCACGTCTTATCGAGGGAGGAACGCACCTCCAGCATCAGCAGCCGCCGTCGCGACGGGCTGGCTCTTCTTTGCAAACTCGGCCTTGGCTTGGTCGATCAACTTCTGCTTGCGCTCGTACTCCTTCGTGGCAGCGGCAGCCTTCTGGCTTGCTGTGATCGATCGCTGATGTGTGAAGCCGTAGAACACACCCAGGCCGAGGGCCGTGTATCTCAGCACCTATAAAATCCATCAATCAGCCGGGCTGTTCATAATCTCGAAAGCGCAAGCTCGATGCTCATGGTCGATTGGCGTGGCGATGGAGGGTCGTCGGCTTAGGGAGACAAGGTGGCTGGGTGCTCCGCAGGATGCGGAAGAGGGCGAAGGACACGACGTACGTTAACTCCTGAGGAGGAAGACATTGTGGACAATTGCCTGGATTGCGCGACTGCTTTCGAGAGGGAGCGAACGATGGAAAGGACAGTGCGCGGGTTGACAATGGCTGCCAATTGACCCTTTCGGAGCTCTGTCGAGGGAATTACGTTAGGGGACGCAGGGTGTGAGGTTTTCCAGGTTGAAAATATGCTCGGGAAAACTCGCAGATTTTCCAGTAGTTGGCAGTCAAGTCACTCCCGGGCGTCTGGAGCTCGGACGGGAACACCATCCCAGCACCACTTGCCCGCGCCCAGCGCCCGTCGCCATGCTGACTGGGCTGGAAGCTTGCACCAAGCCGCTGTGCCGCAGAGGCCTTCCTTACCTCAGCGACCGAATGCCGCTACGGACGACGCAATTTTGCCGACCCTTTGCCGATCTGGCACAATCACGTGCGTCACTTGCCTTGCAAGGTTAGTTAGGAACTCGGTGGAAATGTCCACCAAGCTATCAGGCAAATGGGGACCGGGAGGTCAACTTTAATGCAGGGGCCACCGAGGTATCTTTCTGCAGCATTTTAGCTGAAGTTGTACCTGAATCCAAACAGGGGTCCCTCTGGAATCGCGACGGGACAACGCGCATGGAAAGGGAATCCCCATCAAACCAAACGTCGCTGCCGTTGCCAAACGCTGTCACAGGTATCCGACATCGTCAACAAAAAGCCGGCTCCTCCTCGACTTTCTACACCCGGCACTCCGACTCACTTGCGATCCTTCGACCCTACCTACCTGATTTTGCAACATTAGTGCCTATCTGCCCCGCGATAATCCACCCACACAGTCGGCCAGTCCCGCGATGGGATTAAGGAGAAGACAAAATGCAACAGCGAAGAGATGAAATCCTCGCAAAGAAGGCTAAGCTCGCGGAGCTGAAGCGACAGAGAGAGCTTCGTGCAACTCAGACAACAGCAAGCCGGCAAAGTGCAGGAAGCCCAGGCGACGTGAGATGAACCGGTCCCTTTACCGGCACAGTCTGCTGATGTGTTGTATAGCTGGTCTCCCCCATCCCAGGCCGAGCCGAGAACCGCCGCGACATCGAAAGCTTGATCAATAGCTTGGTGGGAGAAAGTCGACCTGGATCCACGACCGGAGGAGCTGCGTCACCGGCACGTAGGGGTAGCCGGCCCAACAGCGTCCTAAGCGCAGGAGAGTTGAGTACTGCCACATCGGAATTCGCAACCCCCGCCAATGGCCAGCCGACTCCGGCTCCAGCTCCTGTAGCAACACCCGTACAGCTGAGTCTGACGACGGCACCACTCACGACTATTTACGAAGTCCCTCCATCTCCTGTCAAGGAAGTGCATTCATACAGTAAGGGAGTGCAAACGGCCGAAGCATGGACCTCGCCAACCCGACCCAGAGCCCAATCGCTCTCCGACAACGAAGACATCCCTCCCATCACATCGACGCCCAGCAAGAGGCTGAGTCGAAGACAGCGGGATCGCGAAGAAGAGCTGCGACAGGACATCCGAAAGGAGGTGGAAGAGGAGCTTAAGGCCTCGCTGGATCTGCTCAAGGATGGTGTGATTCCGAGCGACGCGCCGGCGAAGGCGAATTATCCCATGCGCAAGCTTACCTCCGAGGAGCTGGAGGCCGTTACTGGTGCCCCCGACTTTTCTGAGTTCCTAGAGAAATCCACGAAAGTAATCGAGAGAGCTCTTGACCAGGAGTACGATATCCTCACGGACTACGCCCTCCAAGGCCAGGACGTTGATGACGATGACGATGACAGCGGCAACGTTGGTGGCAAGGGTCGGCGGAGAGTCAAAGAGGTCGCTCAGTTTTTCGATGAGAGATGGTCGAAGAAACGCATGATCAGCAGTATCGACTTTTCACATCATCATTCGGAGCTAATGCTGGCATCGTATACCAAAAATCCAACTGCACCACACGAGCCGGACGGTCTGGTCCAAGTCTGGAGCTTGGCTCTGCGTGACAGGCCAGAGTATGTTTTCCATGCACAGTCCGATGTTCTCACAGCGAAATTCTCCCCTTACCACCAAAACCTCATTATCGGCGGCACTTACAGCGGTCAAGTACTGCTGTGGGACATGAGAGCAAAATCGGCACCCGTCCAGAAGACGCCACTTACAGGATACGGACACACACATCCCATCTATTCTGTAGATATCGTGGGTACTCAAAACGCTAATAACATCATTTCAACCTCGACGGACGGTGTGGTCTGCGGTTGGAGCATGGACGTCTTCGCCCAGCCGCAAGAACTGTTGGAGCTCAAGGCGCCGCCTGGATACAAGTTGGACGACATTAGCCCGACCTGCCTCGCGTTCCCCCAAACGGATCCTACGTTTTTCCTCGTTGGCAGTGAGGAGGGCACTATTTTCCCCTGCCACAGATACGATCGAGCCGGCGCAAAGGCTGGAGTTGATGCCCGTGTCAGCTACAAGGGACACACGGCGCCGGTCATGTCGGTGGACTTCCATCCTGCGCGCGGCCCGGTGGATCTCGGTGACTTGGTTCTTTCATCGTCTCTTGACTGGAGTGTCAGATTGTGGAAGGTTCGCGCACCTGCAGCGACATCAACTGCAGGTGTTGAGCCGACGGTCTCACCACTCATTGACTTTGTACGAGAAGACGTAGTTTATGATGCACAATGGTCGCCGATCAAGCCCAGCGTGTTTGCCCTCGTTGACGGTGCAGGCTGGCTCGAGCTGTGGGACATCACAGTGGAGACCGAGGAGCCTGTGGCAAGAATTTCCCCGAGCTCTCGCAAGGATGGTAGAACGATGCTTGCCAAGAGCTTGAACAAGGTTGTGTGGGAGCCTTCTGAGGGCAAGCGTCTGGCTACGGGAGGTATCGACGGAGTATTGACCGTGTTCGAGGTGGCCTCTGGCTTGGGCGGAAGAGACGACCTCAAGGCGGAGGAGTGGACAAATGTGAAGAAGCTGGTCAATAGGGTTGAGGCTCACGGGTTGAACGGAGCGATGGTGTAGAAGCCAACTTCTTTTCGTGTACCTTCTGGGGTGAGAGCCACTATATTCGATTTGTTGGTAAAAGGCGCGTTGCTGTATACCCTGATACCGTGTTATTGTTGAGCCTAAAAATTTACTTCTTGAAGACCTCATCCGCTGCGCCGTTCATCATGAATCCGCTGTGATACTTGCTATGCGCAAAGAGCCATTAGTTTGAGGTATCCGTCAAGCAAGTGGAAACCGGAAGCATCCACCGCCTCGGTTGGCCGCCTGGGAATTGAGGATCGTTAGCTTAGTCATCGGGTACATAAATGTCTTCGCCCAGACACGAACTTTTTTCTACACTCCATCCATCTCACCGAAGTCCAACGATTTTTTCTTTGCAACGCCGACAGGTTCGGGCTACAAAGGGTAAGTTATACAGTTATTTTCTTTTCACTTTTGACACCAACGGCACGATGATGATCAAAAAAGAATTCTGCAATTCTGAAGACCTCCGGGTCGTTCTGTGGATAAAATCTTCGCCCTACTTAGCAACACTGAGCCTGCTTCTCGAAGCTTTCTTCATTCAATACTTCTAGTCTACGTTTCCAGAAACGGTCAAGCTGACAATTGGACAAAAGATATGACTAGATTTCTTGATATCTTCTTCTACACGCTACGCAAATGTCTTAGGTGTTGACGGGAGCACCATCGGGGTAGCGGCCACCCGCGACCTCGAACTTTGCCAGCGTCGCGCCAATCTCTGCCATTTCCGCCTCGGTAAGTTCCACCAGCTTTGCATTCTCCGTGACCCTCGCCGCTGTCGTCGCACCCGGAATGGGAATGATCTCGGGCATGTCAGGCCTCTTTGAAAGCGCAACGATCCAGCCGATGGCGAGCTGGGCCGGCGTGACGCCCTTCTTCTTTGCCAGCTCCTCGACCTGCTCGACGAGCTTGATGTTGATACCAAACGTGTCGGGCTGGAAGCGGGGCATGTGCCGCCTCATGTCGCCCTGCGGGATATCGTCGAGCGTCTTGACCTCGCCCGTGAGCATGCCGCGGCCGATGGGCGAGTAGGCGATGAGGGGGATGCCGTACTGCGCGCACGCGGCGGCGACGCCGTTGGTCAAGGGTTCGGTCGAGAATAAGCTGAGCTCGACCTCGACGCCGACAATCTTGGCGACTTTGACGGCCTCGTGTATGGATGCGGCCGAGACCTCGGAGAGTGTGATACCGCCGACTTTCCCCGTGTCAATGTACTCCTTTTGAATGACCCCAAATGTGACCTCGAGGGGCGTGTTCTTGTCGCGCCGCGCGCACTCGAAGATGTCGACCTTTTTGCGGCCCCCGAGCTGGGAGAGGATCTTGTCGAGGGAGCGGCGGACGCCCTCGGGCGAGCCGTCGGGTTTCAGCTGCGGGAGGATGAGACCACCCTTCATGCTCAGGACGACCTTGTCGGCGTCCTCGGGGTACTTTGTGAAGTAGCGCTCGAGGAGGGTGCTGCTGTTGTACTCTGGGGTTCCGTAGAATTCTCCGCCGTTCCAAAAGTTGTTGCCGTTTGCGAGGGCGGTGCGCATGGCTTCGAAGGCCTGCTCTTCTGAGCAGGGCTGGGGCCGCCATGTGAGGCCCATGAGGCCGTAGCCGATCTGGCCGACGTCTTGTCCGTTGAGCTGAGGCATCGTTTTTGAGGGCTTTTGGCGATGTTGTGAAAATGTAAAGAAATATCGCTGGTGCTGAATAATTCTTGAGACTTGAGACTTCAGACTTGAGCTGCGGGGTATTGGTGCCGTTATCGAGCTATCGAGCTGTAGTGGATATCGAGACTCGAGAATGGTGTCCAGCAAACCTAAGCTCAGGACTCGTAGGTGGGTGTCTACCGTTTATATGATGGCATCGAAGGCTTCGAGATGATATCACCAATGTCACTGGAAAAGAGGAGACGGGAGCTAAGAGTTACCTTCTACCTATCCCCATGTGCAAAGTACGGTTTACCGCTTTCACGTAGCGGTCCTACCTTCAATGACGAATACGCGGAGATACTTTACACCCCCACCATAGCACCATATGGAAGCTTGACATCCACGGAGTAGTGGTGTGGGGGTGGTTTGCGCAGGTACCTTACACTGGACGACGTGCCTCTCAACTCTGCCTTGGCACGCTGTCATTCGCTGGACGGGGTTAAGAAGTCACGGATTTAGCATCTACCACAACCCTCGATTCCCGATCGGTCGGAAATGTGCCAAATTCGCTGCTTCTTGGAACCGTGGGCTGGACTTAAGCCGCTTACATTATCAAACTTGAACGTAACCCCAGTCCGATCGACCAGTCAGTATTAGTGTAAGCATGCGCCGCTGGAGATTACGGCCCATCTCATGCTGTCAGATGCTTATATTCCTTCCCGCGCGGTGATCGTAGGGCCACTTTGCCGATTTGTTTTATGCCGAAAGGATGACACACTGGACGGTGCATTGCAGCGTAACGGACATTCCGCAAGTCCGGCTTCAATATGAAGCGTCGGAAAACTCATCCGCGAGTCCATTTCCTAACACCGGTGACTCTGGGCCATTCATGCACTGGAAACAGGTCAGACACCGGGCTTGACAAGCTTACAAACAAGCCTACCAACGGCCTCTGGCATTTCCAATATGGGAATTGCGCCGTCGACAGCCGGCGTTTTGAAAGGAGTGATCTACGGAGCCTGACGTATTACCTGCCAAAAGTTGGCTTTCGAAAGAGAAGAATATTATATGGCGTTGCACTGACCGAGTGGTTCATCAATGGGTCTAATTCCTGACCAAGTCTATCAAAAAAAGAGACAGGTACACACTTAGGATACGTTGACCTAGCTAGGATTAAATATCAACAAGCTTTTCAACGACTTCGTCAACCTGCTGAACCTCCATCGTCCGACTCTGCAGCCTACCTAAGCTCAACTTCTTCTTACTGCCGACAGCAACAACAGACGACGACTTCATCCTCGCCCGCGCCCCCTCAACCCCAAACGGCACGCCTCGAAGTTCCCTCGCCATCCTCCTCTCCGCCTTCCCCGGCTTCACCTTAGCAACCTTCTTTGAGGTCTCAAGAGCCATCATCGGCGGCGGAGCAGTGTTCACGCCACCCAGCATCGTCGGAAAGGGGCTGCTGCTGCTGCCGCTGCTGCTCTTCTTCAACCTGGTGGCAGGAACGGTGGCAATAGCAAAGATGCGCGGGTCAATGGTCCCCTCGGCAGGCAAGCCGGCCTGCTTACGCCACCAGGACGGCAGCTCCGTCAGGTTGACGTCCGCGAGCCCTTCGAGCGTCAGGGGCATCTGGTGCGTGTAGCGGCACTCGGCGCCCCAGCTGCATTGGCCTGTCTGGCACCAGTGCCGGCAGAGGCTGCCGTCTGGACGGACGACCTTCTGCTTTCCTGCGGCGAGCTTGGGAGGGGTAGGCTTTGGGACTCCGGCGGCGGTGGTGCTGGTGCTACCGTTGCTGGTGTGAGACGACGACGCCGCCGCTGCCGTCGTCTTCGGGGCCTGGGCGGGATGGTGGTGGTGGTTGCGGGTGGCGGCGTGCTTTTGGGCGTGGCCGAGTTCGAGCATGCGCTCCGCGATCTCGGCATCTGATTTCTCCTTGATGACAACCGAGGTCGGGGCCTGGACTCGTCGGAAAGGTGTCCGATTGTCTCTGGAGCCGGAAGAGGACTTAGACGAGGTGTCTGGCGCGGAGAGCTCGGCGGAGGAGAAGTCGTCTGTCGAGACCGAGTCCGTGTCGTCTTCGGCCCAGTCGAGAACCCGGGGCGGAGGAGAAGGGGCGAGGAGAGGGGCTTTGGCGGACAATGTTCTGGGGGTCGACTGTGAGATAGCTGACTTTGAAGCTACAGGGACTCCAGTGCGCTTGGCCATATGAGACTGGTTGCCATTTCCTTGGCCAATCTTTGCAAGGTCAGACCCAGACCGCTGAGATTCGAGAAGACAACCAGCATCCAGGATCACAGGACGTTCTCCCGCGGGACGATCATGCGCTGGAGACACGAACTGTAGCTGAAAGTGGCCTTGCGGCTTCGCGAATGTGCCCAGGTTCGACATGCCGGTGGTGTCGTTGATGGTCAGCGTCCGCGACAGGCCGACGATGGTTACATAGTCCGGGAGCAGGTCGACTGGTATGACGGGTACGATGGCCCCGGGGTTGCCTTCGCGGATTATGAAGTGCGTTGGTCGTATCTGAGGGCCATCGTCTGCTTGCGGGCTGTGAATCGAGTGAGATAGACCCTTCTTGGTGTCGCCAGGGGCCGTCTTGAAGGTAGTGAGATTCGTGACTTTGGGCGGCATGGTTGGGTATGTACTAATCTGAAGACGTCTAACGGGGTTCAATCTGGGGAACGGGAACATGAGGCTGTTTAAGATCAAGAGGAGGCGAGACCATGAAGTCCATATTTCTGTTGGCAGCTCTAGCTTGTCTCATTGCAGTCTTTCTGTTTGTTGCAATCTTCTGCTCGGCAGCATGCGTATATGCCCATGTCTCTTGTACAGACGCAGCAAACGGAATGCCACGCAATCTACCTTAGACGCTACAAACTAAAACCAGTACGCAGTCTAGCCTCAATCTATATGCATAATCCCGCGAGACCACTCAAGGGGCTACGCCGAGCTTATTTCACCTATCTTCCACGCGGATATTGACATCCATCCCATCCACACAGAACCCCAACTGCCTTGGCCCATCCCTAAGCTCAACCTCCCTCTTGACCCATCTCCCCCCTCTCGCCTCCTGTGCCCCAGCAGCGCCCTCACCGCTCCTCCCCGCCGCAGCGTCCTCCTCGTCGCTGCTATCATCCGCATTCTCCTCTTCATCGAACCCGCCCACTGGATCCCATTCGCCAGTCTCCCACACCAGACGCAGCCGCAGGGGCTCAGCACCAAACAGCCGTCCTGCAATGCCTTTGACAGCATAAACGTCGCACGATTTGGGGATCGTGGCCGTCTTGGTCACTTGTTCCCGGCCTTGGCCCTGGCCGTCTGAACGTGCCGCTGCAGCGTGGGTGAAGTGTACGGTGATCAGACGGGCCTCGAGGTAGGTAGGGTTAATCTCGTCACGGCGGATGACGTCCGGTGCACCGTAGAGGTCGCAGAGTTCTTTGTAGCGGGCGTGTTGGGCAATGACTTCGGGTTCAGCGGCCTCGGGCACGGAAGCGAGTTGTCTGGCGATGCGGGAGAGGTAGAACATATCTGCGTTCTCGCGGTCCTTGGCTGAGATTGCTGTGAAGTTGAGGACTTTGAGGGAGGCGAGGCGGCCGATGGTCACCATGAATGCCTCGTCTGTGGACTTTGTCTGGTTATCTCCCCCGGCAGCATCTGGGTCCGGATGATCGTAGATTGGGTTGTGGGCGAAGCGGAGAGCTGTGAGGCCCGGGAATGATGTGGGGAGGGCATCTACAAAGGCCCAGCTTGCCACGGTGTTGTAGGATATGTCTAGGTACTGTAGACTCGAAGAAAATGTTGGGACTGGGCCGGACGGAGAGGAGATGGTGGTGATATTGTTGCCCTTGAGGTGGAGGTTGCGGAGGGACGAAAGGGACGACAGAGCCGCGATATCAGAGAATGATGTGAACTCGTTGAATTCGAGATCCAAGGTCGTGAGGGTTGAGGCGAGCGATCCGAACGAGACGCTGGGCAACACGGTCAACTGGTTCAAGCTGCAGCTCCAAGTCTCGAGAGACGGGAATTTGCGAGCGAGGCCGCAAAGAGCTTCCCAGTCCAGCAGTGTCTCTTCAAGCTCTAGCTCAGTGATCTTTGCGAAAGCCTGCGTTTCTTCCGTCTCGATCACTCGGAAGCGGTTACCGCTGAGGACAAAGTCAGTCAAAGCCGATCAAAAGCAAAGGATAGCCACAAACGTACTTCAGTCTCAAGCTTTTCAAGCCGTCCAGCTCCTGACAAATCTTGATGACCTGATCAAACTCCTCAAACAGGTTTCTGCTCAGATCCAGCTCGTAGATGAGGGGGCTCGTCTCCTTGATGCTCTTGTCCCCGTCCACAACATCCAACTGGATGCGTGTCCCATCGAGAATCACAATGGTCAAATCCTCGACGCGCGCGAGCTGCTTGCGAATCTTGTCGAAGCCGACCTCCTCAGCAGGTTTCTTACCAAAGAATACAATCTGAATCTCAGCCTCGCGCTTCGCGACCGCCTCAGAGACATACTTGCCGTGCAGCGCGGTGACGAAGCTTTGCGCAGCGTCGGCGCGGCGGGTTGGCCGCACAAATGAGGCGGCCGTGGGGGCTTTTGAGAGGCCTGCGAGACACAGATTAGAAACTTGGCCCTTGATGCAACGGCACACGGGTGGAATGAGGTACATGTAAAGAATCGGACGTCTTTATGTTGGCCGTCGTGTTTCCCGCGTCCGGTGTCGTCCCATTCTACGCCGAGCCAGGTACCTGATGTGCCAGCGACAGGCCCTATGTAGCGGACAGTGCAGAGCGCATTATCGTAGGATAGTCGCTGACCGATGTAATTACTTGACGACATTTTAGAATTTAGCTAGTTGTCGTCACCGCTGAAATCTCTGCAAAGCCGCACGCATTTTCTGCGCACTTGGTTTGGTTCGGTGCTGTAGTGGGCAGGCAGCAGAATGATCCATGAGATTTGTGTGAGTGAGCTCTTTCGCTGGAGCTCCCAGAAGGTCAAAATTGTTAGTGGGGGTGAACACTACTGAACGCCACCATGCCAACAACCACATGGTAGCGAAGAACCCAAGAACTGTTATAATGGAAGTTTTTAAAATGCGTTATGAATGCTGTGCTTAAATCTGAAATAAATGTGTTCCGAAAATTCATCCAAAATCCATTATTTTACAACTTCGACTTGGGAGACTCCACAACCTTCAACAGTGCGCGACCGTTGCTAAGAACGATCTTTCCGCCCTCGACCTTGGTCTGGAAGCGAACTTCTTCCCATCCATCCTTGACATCGCCTGTCCTCCAGGCATCCGTCACCAGCTTGTCGCCGGGCATGACGGGGCTGGCGAAGCGTGCCTGGTACTCCTTGATGTTGGCAGGATCACTGCCACCGAGGGCCTTCAGCAAGCCGTGGGCGGTTGAGTTCCACGAGTACAGTCCGTGCATGATAGCTCCAGGGAAGCCCATCTTCTTGCCGGGCTCGGGGGTCGCGTGTAGAGGGTTGTAATCTCCATTGAGGCGGTAGAGGAGTGCTGACTCCTTGTTGGTCGCCTGAGAGAAGGTGGCATCGGGCTTCTTGTCCTTCGGGGGAGGGAAGTTCTCGGTCGCGGGACCCTTGGGGCCGCCCCAGTTGCCCTGAGCGATGTAGAAGCTGCTGGTAATGACGCTGGCGTAGACCTCGTTGCTGGGGAGCTCGACCAAGTCGGTCTGGGTCTCGACGACGGAGCCCGGGCGGCCCTTGTCGTAAACACCGAGAACCTTGGTTCGGACTTCGAACTTCTTGCCGGCCGAGGTTGGGGGGAGGGTCTTGTTAAGCACAATTTTGCGCTGGCCGTCGACGACGCGGCGGGCATCGAAGGAAGGAACGTTGGGGATCTGGACGGCCTTCTGGGCAGCGTAGAAGTCGACTACCTCCTGGGTGTCGCCCTTGAATGCTGGCTCGGTGTTAGCTGGGTTGATCGTAGTATCCATTGAGGTGATGTAGCTCACTGAGAATGAGAGGGTAGGTAGGGAAGACGGCGAAGTTGGGGTGAAGTTCCTGTTGGCAAACGGTCAGCAATTAAGAGCCATAAATGCCCCGCGAGAGAAGAAAACTTGCATAGAGGAAATGAAGCTCGTCGTCGGTAGCACCAACGGTGTTCGCGAAGAGCAGCACATCGCGCTTGACCCAGGAGACGGGCTGGCGAGGGTACTCGAATCCAACACCGGGGCCGCTCATTGTGAAGTTTTCTGTAGAAATCTGTATGGTGTAGGTGCAGCTAACGATACAAGGTGAGTCTGAATTGCAATTGGAAAAGAAAAGGCGGGGAGATCTGAGTAGAGTTGCACCTCGGCCGAGCTCTGGGGAATTCGCGACGGTTTTAACAAGCGATGGCCAAGCTGCCCTCGGCGTGGCTTATGGTCAGCTAACCGGGCAGCTAACCGGACAGAGAGGGCAGCTCCAGTGGCAGTGAAACCCAGGCCGCCAATGCCGAGGTTCAAATGTGGGGGTGGAGTTGCGCCATCTTGGGCTTTACCCCGGATCTCGACTTCGGGATCTAGGGCCGCGAGTGGCAGGGCCTAGAGGAGGCTAGTGCGAATGCTTCCTCTCAAGTATCACTAATCTAGGCGATCACGGTTCATGTTGATGGAGAGCATCACGAAGCAAGAAGAAGCTTCCGTTGCGATTTTCTAGAGGTGCAGAGCTTCTTTGCTGCCGCTTAGCGTCGGGGGTCGGCAGGCGGCAACTCCGACCACCTACCTCCAGTGGAGGTCGGGATGGGAGCTCTCGAAGGGTGGAAGGTGCCTTCCTTCACCTGCCCTCCCGTCTGAACAGACGGGAGCTCCTTCCTTCACCTCACCTGCAGGCCCTTTCAACTAGGTACCTCCTCCACTTACTTTTCCACATTCCAGGTTTGCTCCCATCCTTGACCTGGCAAAAACTTCTTTTTCGCACCACTCTACCCATCTCAAGTCAAGCGAGCAACCGTTTCACTGGTTACCCAACTTATTTCCACTTCAGCGCCGAGTTGCTCGTGAAGGCTTACGTGAAGTGACGATGGCGCCCCTGAAATTTGCGCAGCTACAGGAGAGTCGCGGGCTCGACTTGGCCAAGCCCTTCGACAAAGACACTCGAAGGATCTTGGAAATGACCGTCCATGATCTAATCCGCAAGAGAGGCCAAGTGGACAGCAAGATGACGATGGCCTTGGAGCGCCACGGTCAATCCAGCGATGCCCAGTATCAGCAAGATTCTCTACTTCAGCTCTCACTCCGCGAGAAGGCCAGAGAAAGAAGGTTCATCCGCCGTCAAACCAAAGTTCTGGATGACAGACAGAAGTTGCTGGACATGGATCCCTCGGGCGCCAGAGCCCGCGATGTCGACCTACTCAAGAACCTCTTGTCGAAATTGAGAGACGAACCCAGCACCTCAAGCGAGGCACTCAAGCACCAATCGAAAGACGGCGACCTTTCTTTCGTTGAATGGGACACCGAAAATTCTGAAGACGAGAATGACGATAACCGCAACGCCCTCGATGATGATCTGAGTGCTAGTCCTCTTGTGCCGAACGCTGTCAGCACCAAGTCCTAGAAGGACAAGGATGTCGCGGTGATTGACAGTACCAAGAAAGAGAAGCGAAAGCGCGACGATGATACCCACCAGTCTTCCAAGAAGTTGAAGAACGAACATGGTGGCAATGATACCCAGCCACAGGGCGAAAAGGGTCAGCATGACGGCGATACCAAGCGGAAGAAGAAGCACAAAAAGTCCAAGAGCATCTCACTCGACGAGACGAAGCCCGAGAAGCAAGACGAAGCCCCGAAGACCAGTTCAGGCAGCAATGTTGAACATGCCGAAAACACTAGCTACGGTGCTGATCTCGCAAAGGGACAGAAGAAAAAGAAGAAGTCCAAGTCGGCCACAGCTCACCTTATCGACCATGGAGACGAAGCTGACGTCGGTGAGACTTCATTCAGTCACCAGAAGTCCGAAGCTCAGAATAATGCATCTTCTCCGTTCACTGAGGTCAAGGGAGGGAAGGATAAGAAGAAGCACAAGAAGTCTCATTCCAATGCTGTCGCTGAAATCGGCAAAGAGGAGCAAGACCACAGTCCCGAGGTTGTCCTCACTCCTGAACTTTTCCAGGAGAAGGACACGCCTGTGCTCACTCACGAGACCAAGAGTGACAAGAGAAAGGAGAAGCAGAAGAAGATCAAGCATGCAGAGTTCGCCCATACTATTACAGTCATCGACGACGTCAAGGAACACGAGCAGCTCAAAGTGGCTGAAGCTAGCCCCGGAAGTGAGGGCGCCAAGGACCCCGTGGCCTTCGCGAAACACAACAAATCCAAGAAGGAGAGGCGTATCTCGGACAACACTATCGTCAAGGAGAGTCAGGCCAATGCTGAGCCAGACAAATCGGTCCACGATGCAACGGTCGCTGAGCCTACGATCATCGAGGGTAAGAAGAAAAAGAAACTGCGAAGCAAGTCGCTCTCCATCGCCGAGAAGGATGAGCAGGCCACCATGCCTGACAAGACCGAGGGTATCAAGTCCTCCATCGATGGTCCCCAGAAGGCGACGTCGTCTCCCGGTACAGCTTTGAAGGGGCCTACTCGCATCCATCCTCCGTTGCCTCCAGCCACTCCGGAGAATCGGGGATCTTTCGTTCGCACAACTGGCCATACGCCTTACAACCCCTTCTTGAACTTGAAGCCACATAGTGTTCAGCATCCTGGGCCTAGCTTCGTTCGTGAGAAGTCGCCGAAATCTGCAGGTGGCCAGGTCTGGGTTCTTGACACTACTGGATCGCGCAAGAAGCAGAACAAGAGTCATGAAGACGACACGAAGAGTGTGACCATGACCATTGGCAAGGTTGATACTCCGCACAAGGTTGATCAGGGCTCTCCGACGCCCCCTCCCAAGAAGGACCAGAAGAAGAGAGGAAGACCCAAGAAAACCAAGGAGCCTCTCATCCCTGCGAGCCCTCACTGTGCGGGTTTCGCTGCCCAGACGGCAACTCCACGTGCTCGCACCTCGAGCGATCTTGCTGCGCTTCTGGGCAGCCCCAAGCGAGCCAAGAAGCTTCAGAAGGTGCTCAAGGAGGATAGGGCAATGCTCGAGCAAGAGAAGAAGAGCTGGTACGAGGCTGTGGGCTTGGAGTACAAGAAATGAGTATCGGCCGTCAACCCTCTGATGTAGATTATATTGCCTTGCAGCCTTGCGCAACGAGCACCATCACAGATCCTGATATCGACAGATGCGTCTGAGGCTTGCGGAACAAACTTTCAGTGTATCAATAGGAGATGAGGATAATTCAAGATACATTAAATAAGACACATATCATGTGATGATGCACCAGTGAACACTGACTCGGTCTGAATGTGGATATAGGAAATTTCATTTCGGTGCTCGGCCATTTTGTGAGGCCAGAGTCTCATTTTACTGTACAAAGAGTGTAGATCCTTACATCGCGCAGAACCCCATCTGCGGCTTCAGCCATTGATAAAACACAGGAAAACCCAATCCTTAAAATCGACCCTTATTACGGTCACACTCCTCCAAGAATCTGTAGATGCCCTCCAGTCCCTCGTACCCATCGGAGCAGTCCTCACTGGTCTTCGGGGTAGGTGATAAGCTTTCGTATCCCTCGGGGTCTGACATCCAAGAGTGCTCTTCCATCTCATCCATGAACGCCTCTTCCAGGTCGACATCGATGCCGGAAAGAGACCGCAGTGAACCGCCGGGCGAAGTAATGGTTTTGACACCATCGTCAGGGGCGTACGGGAACTGAAGCGCCATCGGGACGCCATTCTCCATCTCAAAATCGGGGTCTTGGCCGACGATACCACGCTGAACGCCAGCATCATCGCACAATCGTTCGACAGTCTCGGCGTCGACTCCAGGGAATCGCACCCGAAGGACGTTTTTCTTTTCCATCGTGACGGGCAAATCACCCAAGATGGCAAGCCTTTTCAGGTCTGCGAAAACGACGGCAAGGTCCTTAAAAGCGCGAGCAAAGTCAATGGACAGGACGTCGAGGAAACCATCCTCGTTGAGGGTGGTGGTGGGGGCCTCGGCGTTAGCGGAGGTGAAACCCGCAGCAGCGGCGGCAGCCAGGGGGCTGAGGGCCGTGACGGTGGGGCTGATATGGAAGTCGACAAACGAGCCGGGGTTGCCGCGGGCGGCACCCATCATCTTGACGTACGCGGCCTGCTCGAGCTCCGAGACGGCGCGGTAGCGCTTGTCGCCGCGGGCGTTGAGGCCGTCGTAGCGCACCTTTTGGCCAGAGAGGCAGAAGGCGCGCATCGCGACGGAGACGTTCTGCATCACCTGCGCAGGCGCGGCGGGCGTGTGCGAGAAGTAGCGGGCCCCGCCGCCGACGCTGTAGCCGCCTTGGGTCCGGGCGATGGCGCCGCCGGTAAGGTTCGGTCGGAGTGTGCTCGCAAAGGGCGCGCGGCCGGTCATCTGGCCCACGCGGCGAGAGGTGTTTGAGCTCGGGAACGATGCCCTGCTAAAGCGTGCGCTGCCGCCGGTGCTACCGGAGGCGTTGGCGCCGCTGGTAGAGATCCATCGACGGACAGTATTGTTGATGCTCTGGGTCGAGTACCAACGTCCCGCGCGCTTCTGCCGGAGGAGAGCAGCCGGGTGGATAGGCTGTCGGCCGGTCGGGGTCGTGCGAATGGGGATGTGTGCGAGCTCGCCTTGGACGGCTGGGCGGGTTGCGTTTGCGAGTTTGGTTCGTATCATTTTGGTGGTTCTGGTGATGCCCACGCGGAGGAGGCGTAGGGCTGCTGGAGCCCATATACCCCCCGCGGCAGACATTTTGGCGGGTTTGTTTGGAGTGACTCCTAGGAGATCACGACCGGTGAAGGGGACGTCAAGAATGAGTCGAACAGTGTCGTGCTTGAAGCTATGTCCTTGGGAAAAGAGGGAGACCTGGGGGAGGGCGGGAGATCGCGGGGAGCACTTATAAGGAGGGAGGCGATAAGATAGACTTCGCCACCTGAGGTTGTCCACTCAGATTGCCGGATGCACCGCCACAAGCACGGCTGTGGACGGGATTTGCTCTAGTCCAAAGGTAGCTAGCGCCTTCTCGTGAGGTAGGACCCCCACTCTGGATTTTTTTTCTTTCCTTTAAATTTCCCGCGAAGCTCTTCCAACTACTGCAGACTTCTCTTTTCCATATTCAACAAGGTCAATCACCAAGGCCTTTCCCTCTGCCTGCCATTGCGAGGCGCGCGACTGGCAGGCATTGGGGGGCATTCAATTGGTAAGTTTATTTTACTCCTTCTCACGAGAGTTCACCTGGTTTCTTTTGTCTTTTTGCGATGATGATTGGAAACAACATTGAACAATCCAAATCAGACCTATTCCATGGTGTCACACTTTTCTTAGAACTGAGCAAAATTTCTTGCGCAGCTACATGTCTTTCGCGTCTATGGAGTCGTTGATCCAAAGCTAACGCGCAACAGAATTTTCTCTCCAGAATCTTCAATCGCTTCAAATTTAGAGGCCCTTGCTCTTGACAATATTTTCAAAAGGTTCGTTCACACTTTCTTCGTCTCAGCAGCCCGCCCTCCTTCCCTCACCTCTATATGATGAACACTTCGTACACCATAGGGATTCCTCAT